TATAAAAATTCTTTTACTTTATAGCTTAAATAAAGTTTAATATTTATTAAAATACCTAAGCCCTTTTAAGCTTTATAGTTAAACTTTTTAATATTATATAAAGTAAGTTATTACTTTTCTAAAATATTAAATAAATATTATAAACTAACTTATTAAAAGGGATTCTACTATAAATACTATTCCTTATAAGCTTTTAAATAATTAATAAAGTTATTTTTAGCTTAAACTAAATTATTATAATTATAATAGCCCTAGGAGCTTAACTTTACTAAAATATATAAATTATAAAATAAATAAAGTAGTAATTATAGCTTATTAATAAATTAATTTACTTTAAAGTTTCTATTAAAAATAATATTAATAATAGTCTATTTAACTAGGTTTAAAACTTAACTAATAATAAAGTTTAAAAATAATATAATATAAGTAGGAATTTTAAATATAATTATTAAAGGTCTTTTTATTTTTATTAATTATTTTTATAACTTCTCCTTTAATATATTTAATAGAATACTAAAAATCGCTATACTAGCTAATATACTTTTATACTAATCTAATATATTATAATTTAAGAGTAGCTAATAATATCCTTATTATTCTTTAAATTACTAGTATATTTTAATACTATTTTTTTAATTATAGTAATTAAATATTATATATTTCTATTTATTAAATAAGTTATTACAAGATATAATAGCTAGGGCCTATTACATATAATAATTATAAACTTCTTTTTCCTATTTCTTAATAATAGTATTTTTTAAAGCTTTTTTAAAAATATTTTTATTAGGACTTAGATATGTAGTATAGAATAGTATTAGAAATATATATAAAAAAGGCTCCTATTAGATTCTAATAGGTTTCTAATAGGCACTTAATTTTATAGATATTTTGGAAAAACTATAAAAAAAGAACTAACTCCTACTAAAAGAAAGTAAAGATCTTTATTATTTAATATAAAATCCCCTACTTTTAGTAGCAGGCTCTAAAACGTTTTCCCCGCTCCTTAATAAGCTAGATTGCCGATCCACGCTTCTATATACATAGTAAACTATAGTATAATAATTTTTAAATAGGAGCTTAAATTAAAATTAAATATATTTAATACTAATAATATTAATAATATATTTAAATCTAAACTAATATTAGCTTTATTTCTTTTTTATAATATAGGGTTATTATTAATATTAATAATAATCTTCTATAAGCTAAATTTCTATAGGAGCTTAATAGAAATATTCTTTTACTTTTAAAAATACTAGCCTTTTATTATATTTATAATATCCTCCTACTATAATAAATTATAATAATTAATATACTTAGTATTTTTAAATTAATAAGTAAAGTAGGTATTATAAAATATAAGCTTAGCTTTAATATCCTTTATAAAAGCTTTAGCTTAAATACTTTAAATAGTATTATTATTATGCTTTTAAAAATTAAATTTATATAATAGTTTAATTTTACTATATTTCTTTCTTCTTTTATATTACTTTGATTTTAATACTATATTAACTATAAACTACTTAAGAAGCAGTAGGAGCTAAAGTAGGAGTACTTTTAGTAATAGAAGTAGCTTTTTTCTATAGTTATAGTAGTATAAAAAGAAAAAAAAAGGAGGATTAAGAAAAGGAAAAAGAGGAGGTATTTACTTTTTTATTACTCTACTACAAGTTTAAGTATTTCTTTTTTTCTATATCTTTTTTAATAACTTAGTTTTTTTTTATAGATAGCTTAAAAAATAATTACTTACTTATTATTATAATAAGTTTATAATATATTTTAATTAGTAATAAATTAAATAAAAAGCTATTAAATACTTTACTTATAAGCTTATATTATTATATAAATCGACAAGGAAGTATAATTTCCTATTTAAAACTAGCAACAAAGTCTTTATTAAGTTGTTATTGAATTTACACAGTAGTTGGCAAGCTTGTACGCGTTATTTTAGTAGGGGAGACGCGAAGCACGGCAAAATTCCGAAAATCCCAAGAAACTCTTATATAGGGATAATACTGACTACCAATCATACGTGGACTCTAGATGCGCTTTTCCTGTTGTAGATGTGGACAATTCCTTCTCTTTAGATGTCTCAACTCACGCGATTGATTGCAGAAAGCCAAGCTGCTCGTCAATCAATTGTCCGCACCACGTACTAGGAAGTTTGTTCTGCTAGGGATGATTGTGATACCGACGAGGTGTCTTGGCAGAAAGACGCGTCGAACTTCATGCAACTAATCAAATGCATGTGCGGGGTATCGGGACTATTCATTCGCATACACATGGAGTTCGGTTTAACTCTGCGCAGACGCTCGGAGATTGAAATCGACACTGCGCAGACGCTCGGAATTCGGGGTATCTCTTTTGCAGATATTCGGGAATCAGGAAATATCTTTAGGAAGTGCTCGGAGATCCCCAAAGCCTTCCGTGCAACCGCTGAAAGTCAGCTCTGAGCGACGCATGATGACCACATGAGTCGAAAAGTATACTAGCACCTATGTCTGTTATCTCAGAGAGACTTTCAGTGCTTTCGCGCAGGCCTAGATAATTCGAAAACCCCGTCGCCCGACCAGGGAATTGGCGAATACTCTAACCTCAGAGGGTAATGATCTCGGGGACATTTTCTCGCAAATGTGTTCTGAGCTCGTCATCATATAAGGCCAAAGCGTTACCAAAGTGGAGCTATCATTAGTGACGCCGATCTCGGCCAACCCATACGTGTGTTGCATTATATCCATGGGACATCGCAAAACCATGAACGCAGTGCAACAAGTTTGCTCTTCAGACTGCCCAATCGCGGTTTTCGTAGATTTATCGTCATTGACAGATACTCACTTTTAAGAAACTTAGAGATCATAAGTTATCTCCTCGAGCAGCAGTTTGCAACAGCGTAACTGACGCGAGAGCACATGTCAAGACGTGCTGTTTCGCAGCGTGCGAAGTCCTATGCATAACCTTAGCCAGGCTGAGTCTAGTCAATCTGACGCCGGCAGTGGACTCAATCTGGCTAACAAAGCAATTTTTATGTAAGTACCTTGCCTAGCCAACGTCTTGCACCCTAGCGCCTGCAATAGTCTACAGTGTTTTTCTCAGGCTCTAAATCTTAGGCAAGGGTGCGGATTCTTCCCCTCTTTCAACCTTAGATCTGGACGACGTCGCTATTGCCTCTATCGATGGTATCAACGTAATACAAGAACAGCGACCCAAACCTCAACATCTGCAACGTCCAGAACATACAGCAAGCTCTCTGGTTGGTGTCAATGTACAAAACTGAATGGGCGTGTAGCGAGGCTGACGCTCCGTGGCTAGTGTGGTAGGCTGTGAGGTCGCAGGGAAAACCCCTAAAATTTCGTTTCAAGATAACATTCGTTGGGAACAAAGCCTGTCACTTAAGCATGTCTGTGCTCTTCAACCTTATTCCGGTCAGAAAGTGGAAACGTTTACACATCTCATAGCGCAGGCGTGTGGACAGGACCAATCTGAAGCCGTCGGCGATGTTACCGTTACTATGGGGGAACTGGAACCATTTCACTATGATAATCTCTGCTTTCATCCTGATTCTCAGTCTAATGAGGGCTTTCTTTGCACCACACGAGGTCGCAGCACCTTCTGGTAAGAATCTATCTAAAAGGGTGGCCATCAGACCTCGTCCATTTGGATCATCAGTGACATCCGGCCCCGTGACATATCTCCGCACCTCCAAGCTCTCAGACGACACCCTTCTCGGCGCCTACATCACCATCTCCGGCCTCTCCAGCACCTCCAACATCGATAACCCGTATATCCTCCAACTCCCTACCGGCTGTATCCTCTGCGCTGTTCGTGATTATTCCAAAGACCTTGCCACTGCTGCTTTGACTTACTTTCGCATTACAGTTACTTTTTCGGACGACAGCGGTCGCACCTGGCACTACCTAAGTGAGCCCAAGGGACATCCAAGTAAGGGTGTGAGTGGCGATTAGGAACTTTTCTTACGCCTGGCGCGCGATGGATCGGTGCAGTTGTATTATAGCCATGGGATGTCTGCTTCTGACCAAGACACTGTTGAGCGCTTCAGCACTGACGGAAGGATTACGTGGCTGCCTCCACAGATGACTGCTGGCGGTAATCTGGTCTCGAGGGTTGGTATGACGGGCGTTGCGTCGGTCGATGAAGGGACTTTGATGGCTGTCTTCGAGACCAATACGAGAGGTGGCGGGTTCGAGATTGGCGCTGTTGTTTCCGCCGATGATGGCAAGACGTGGGGTGGGAGACGTGCTATCTATACCCCCTCAAATGCGAATGCTGGTGCTGGCGCTCCGCAGATCACAAACGTGGGAGGTACGTTGGTAATAAGTTTCATGACTAATGAGGATGCAATGTTAGATTCGCTGGCCCACGATTATGTTGAGGGGGGATCGAAGGTGAAGATACTGACGAGTGGGGATGGTGGCAAGACTTGGGAAATAAGATTACAGTGGACGATATTGGTGGACTGTGGCCAGGCTTGTGTGTAGTTGATGAGAGGACAGTACTGGTGATGTGGGATCAGGGGGAGTGTCGAAAGTACAGAGACTGGAGTTGGTATAAGTGACTGTTATTCCAAAGGTTCGTGGTTTCCTCAAGAGACCATCTGGACAGTGCCTAGTAATGTCGATGACCACTAAGAGAGATCAAATACAAAGGAGGCTGATGAAAGTCCTATATTGTTTTGTGGTTCTACTGTGCATTTACGTATGAGAACCTTAGATACCGAACTTTAGTCTTGTTGAGATGTAGTCTTGTTGAGATGCATTCACAAAACCTGACACCGCCCTTGGGTGTTCACATTTGTTGTCATTTTTGAACTTTAGAGGAAATGCCTAATCGTCCCTCACTGCTTGTTCCATTTATGTCAGCCCTTTTATATACTTCTCGGCTCTGAAGGTTGGGACGGACGGCAGGTGATTACAAAATCGCGACATTTTGAGCCAGATTATGGAGTCGACTTCTTCCAGTCCTCGCGTATGGTTCAGTGACTATTTGAGAAACGGCGTCTCAAAAATTCGGCTGACGTCCCCCTTCGCAAATTCGACACTTATTACGAGAGTAGGAAACTCCTGATTGACTGCCATTTCATGTCTTAATGTTACTTGTAGGTCTTTCCCTTCGACCCAAGGCAGCAGTACACTGTCATTCCTGTCGAAGTGCAATGTTTTCAGGTCAGATGAAACAAGCTCATCCAAGTTGAGTCTCTCACGTGCTGGCACTGGGCATTTGAATGACAGTCTTAGCAAGTTGCGCAGGGCTTGAACTGTTGCTTCATAATCAATTGACTTTCCTGCCATCGAGATGAAGATTTCTGGAGGATCGCGAAGTCTAGACGCTCTTGTCCACGCGCCATTGTGGCAGGGATCTAGCAGGTCATTCCAGCACAGTATGTGTTCTGTCCCTTTGAATGCGGTCAGGGTTATCAGCCTCGGCGCTTCCTCCCGGGAAGAAATATAACGTGAAATTTGTGATCTGTCATTGTGGAGCTGTATCTCCTTTGGAGCATTAGACGAAATATCTAGTACTGAAATCCCTTCGGCTTGTAAGTCTGGCGCCACATACAGACATATAGATGACCAGAGATGTGGTTTGTCCGCGGCAGGTTGATGAGCTGATGGATTTGTTACATAGAATATTTTGCTATCGACTTCCTTGTATTGCTCCATCACAAGTGTGTTAGAATCGTATCTTACCGATTCATTATTTGGGTCTTCAAGTAGCAAAATGCTCAGATTGGTCTCAGGCGCATATGACCTACAACATCCAAGTTTGACTTGATACAGAGTGTGCTCTTTACTATGAGCTAGGTACGTATATGAGAGCAATCCATTCCTTGTGATGAATGGCAGCTTGATTCGGAGACCTCTATTTGTCACCTCGTAAGGCACAACCTCCTTGGATGGAAATGCTTTGGGGAGCTGGACAACATCGCCCGAGTTTGCAAAAGCTGAAGGGTCGGAGGCAAACATGCCAGTATTTTCCGCTCGCGACTTCGTCGTCCAGGCAAAGATCGATTGGTCACTAGAATGACGAATGATCTCACGCTGTAGTCTTGTGAAGGCTTTCATTCCCTCCCCGTAGAGCAAGGGAAGATTAACATCGAACAATCCCAGTAGGCAATAAGCCATGTCCTCGACTCTGCTCGTTTGCCTTCTTGAAGCCCATGACATTTTTGTTGCTATGCTTGCACCCTTGAAAGAATCCAAGTATTGAGGAGCAATAACCGCTGCGTTGCAAATGGCAAGCTTCAAACTGTGCTTGGTGCCTATTCGAATCCATGCACTATCGTAAAACGTCAATCTTTTCGGTGCCAGAAGTTCTTGCAATGCCCAGCCTCTAGTGAACCATCTACTTTCCGCAAAACTTTCCTGTCTGCTATCGCTCTCATGCTCTATATGTATGTCTGACAAGTATACGTAGCATATTTGTGCTCTTTCGTACCAGTGAAACATTGAATTGATCGCCTCTGACAACTCAGCGCCTTTGTCAAGATCAGCATTGCCAGGACCATGCCCTCGAGTTTTCAAGCTTGCGCACTACTAGACTTATCAATGCAGCATGTATCGATCCACATCCAAGGCCATGATTCTGAGGCTGCCAGTTTACAGCAACCGAGGATTTTGGCGTTGCGATGACCTTGTAGAAATTGCGTGTAATTCACTTCTTTCTCGCCCCATGTGTGGGACAGGATGGCGTATGGAGGAGTGTTAGCATCGGTGAACTCGTGCAACTCGAGCTCGGTGGTATGCAGCAAGCGCATGTCGTTTGAGAAACCCCAGAATATACTGGCCAATGGCGTAGGAAGCAAAATTGCTGAGCTTGAAGCTGCAGGCTCAGCAAAAGGTACCCGTCTTTCGGACTTTACCTATCTTGGATATATAATTCCGTCTTGGCACTACGTCATTATCAATAGTTATACAATTGCTCCCAAACGGCTGAGTGGCTCGAGGTTCGTCTTTGCTTCCATCGAGCACAATACCCGCAGCACCTTCTTCAACAGCTTAATCAGATCATCAAAACGATAATTTCTGATGTGCTTTTCAAGATCCGGGTAGCGCGCTTTGTACGCGGTGAGGGTGATTATGCCCAATCTCCTGGTTTTACACCCAGATCGGCCTCAAGCAAGAGACTTCGTCAACAATTTTCAGACGCGAAATCAAAGGCAATTCGCAGTCTCCAACAGAGCAACACGTGCCCGCTCATGGCTGAGGGAGCGTTTTACCTCATTACAAGCCTTAGGACTTAGAAGGACTTGCACATTCGACTTCAACGCCGCACGCCTAGCAAAATATCCAATGATGTTCTCGTCTATGAAAACTTTATTGGGCGATTGTGCACATCTGAAGTGGCAGTAGACGAACAATTTTTGGATAGCTACGGCAAATATCTACGAAGAAGATTAATATTCTGAAGAACAGAGCATGTTCAATCTCGCATCGGCAAGAACTCCTCAAAAATCCTCAATCTCTATCTCAAGGGTCATATTCTTTAGTAGGATATTATGAGAGAACTTGGGTGTCGTGCCTGCTAAATGCAAGAAAACAAGCAACATTCAAATCAAAGCATTCTGCGCTCAATACAAAAGGCAGGTGAAGCATTTATTCGACGATTCTTCATGAGAGGTGTCCGGAATGTACTTGCTAGGCAATGCTTGCTACTGCAAATCAGTCCGAGCAGGACAGACCATCTCAACAACGCATGACCTATTAAACGCCAGGAGCCGGCAAGGTTTCCGTAGATCCCAACTAGAAATCATGCTATTCTCGAGCCAGGAACTTTTAACCACTGACATCGCATTTGACATCTGTGACCAAAGAGAAACTTTCACGTGCGGTAAGGCAACCATCTAGGACTGATCACAATGAATGCTAGCAATAACAAACTTCATGTCATGACGTCGAGTTGGCCTGGTGCCTACGGCAAGGATAAGGCGTCCAGCCCTGATCGTTTAATGAAACAGGGTTCTAGGGAGCCGCACCACTGGTGACCGATATGCAGGAACACGGCCGCTTGGCTAGTGTAAGGCGCAGAAGATCTGCAGTTCATAGAATAGGGCGTCTGAGGGGCCAATTTGCGGAGATTGACATCGTGAAATTCACTCTCCAGTCAAAACCTCGAGATTGGCGTGAGCTGAATCTTCATACTTTAGATTGGCGAGGTGACAGCATGCCTGATGATGTAATGTTTATTCTTGCGGGAATAATGACGGTATGGTACTCAGAAATCTTGAAGTCATAAAGTCTGGGTGGGTGCCCTTTCTTCGTCTTGGACATAGAATCAAATCACGACTGTCAGCAACATACACATCAAGTTTTCCTCCTACGCATATACATCATCATGAGATTCACTCAAGCCTCCTACGCCGCTGTCTCGGTATCACTCTGCGTGCAAGCCGTCGGTCACCCCTGAAACACCCTCCTTCGCCGCATGGAAGATACTGACACTGTGTTCACAGGCTCTTGGCGCAGTACCCTTAGCACCTGAACGTCGTCACACCTCCACACTGACCTATCGAGGCCCTATCACCCCTGGTGGTGAAGACCATACATTCTTCGGAACAGCTCAGGTAGGCAACGCACATCATTGTCTCCGACCGCACCACTAACCTGTTAGATAGGACATCAACAACCAGATCAAAAAGCGTAATCCCTCTTTCAACCCGGAGGATTTCGAGAGCGTGCGTGAGGCCAGAGCCAAGCGGGGTCTACAAGCTCGCCAAAGTCCTGATTTGGTAGGCCCGGATATCTCTGAAAGCAATCCTCAACATTACTGACCGTGATATTTTCCTTGCCCAGAGCGCTTGCAATTGCGACATCGACGCCATCCCCGTGAACTACAACAATATCCAGGAGAACATCAAATACGTCAGTGACTTGCCTGGCGATTGTCAAGTTGCAGCAAAGTCGTGCGTGCATATCAGCTGCTCGTATGATAATGCGATTGCGTGGTGTAATGATGTATGTTGCATTCTACACACTCTCTATTGGTTTCTAACACTATGACTTCGATAGCTGATGATTATGTAGAATGATCATGACCTGTCCATCAGCTGCAACTATCTCGGCACCAATTATGCGGAGCCAATGTCATATAAGTGCAGACAGGGCGATTTCACAAAAGGGCAGTTCTTCAATAGCGAGAATTGGAATGTGATCATTAAGCAGGAGGGGTGTTAAGGGACCAAGATCGCTCGCCTGCACAATGCTGATCGTGGTTCCTAGTCTTTTAAGCTACTTTTGTGTGCATAGAGCATTTTACTCTTTTGGCACGAGGACTACAGAAGCGTGGGAAGTAAGGGTCATGGATCAGCTTACATAGCTTTCATAACCCTACAATGCACAAGTCTCACCTCCCAGGCGTTTGTTTGGTAGACAAATCAGTCCCTCGACCTTTCGCACTTCATCTAGCTACAAAATCTTTTAAGCATCTCTCCGTAAGGTCACTACGATATGCGACCACAAATGAATCTCAAGGACCGCCTTCTTAGCCGCCGGGGTATTCAGGTCTGTCAGAGGCATCATTGAGGGAGCGCTGGTGTTGTCTTCATGAATATCAAGATTGGAGAGGTGGGCGACGCAGTTGGCGATGGAGAACAAGGGTTGGATAACTAGGCAGAAGCGTTTTGATGCCGAAAGATGCGAGGGATGTTTTTGAGGGGGCGTTACGCGCTGTGGCTATTACGTGTGGACTGGCGTCGTCGGTAGCCTAGACCGTTGAGGTTGGAGGAACCTGTTGTTAGGGGTGTGCGCTTTGGGGTCGACAATGTTGGACTTGAAAATTTCCAGCCTCCAAATAAGTAGGATTAGGTTTACAACCGCAATTATGCGTGAGATTGACTTGAGAGTCGATGTCATAGGTCAAATTTAAATGCATTGATGATTTTTCCCTGATCTCGAGGCGGTGGATCGTCGAATCTAAACAATAAATGGTAGAGCTTGGTACCTAGATTTCCTTCAGATGCATCAAGTCTTCTAGAACATCCATCAAACTTTTAGTGTTCGTAGACTGGGTTGTCGAACCCACACCACCGCATTAAGCTATGTATGAAACCCATCTCGAAGCAATCCCAGGCCCCAGTTGTGGGTTCGTCCGGGTGAATTAAGTGTCGGGCGTAATAGTAACCGTGCTGTTCACGATGAATCATAATCTCCGTGAGATATTGAAATGGGGTCTCATCACTGGCTGGACCATGCGGCATTGAGCGTGTTGAATACTGATGTATGAAGTAGGGCGCCCCCGATTTTCGAAGCAGGCAGAAAACGGCCCCCGTGCGCAGTGACCAAGTAAAACACTTTGCACGTACAAGCCAGCCGATCATATATAAACGGATCATGAAAGTACAGCTTGATTGGAGATGTGGCTGCGGGACATCCTGGACCTGATTGATTTCATCGCGCCACGCCTTGAAGTTCTTCGCTTCTTCTATCATCCACCAAATCAAGCCTGTTACGGCGACGGCTATGATCGCGGTTGCAAAGAAAACCTTCAAGGTCCGACCACTGTTGTTCAATTCCTGAATGTTCATGCCAAAGACAGAGGTGGCCAGGTTGAGGGGCACATAGAGAAACGCCAGTATGGTAACTTGCTACACTTAGCTTAGTTAAGACGGTATCCATGTGCAACTTACATATTTTCACTAGTAGAGGTTAGCGGTAGATAAATGACTTGTGTTTTCTCGTGAGCAACACACCTCGCTTTCCTTCCAGGATCTGATGATTCGAAAGCTCGATAGACTTCCGTGACTCTAAAAGCGCCAATCGACTGGCTTCCAGTTGAAGATGGTCAAAAAGTTGAGCCTCAAATCGACGCGCTTCTTCGACCATGCGATCTCTTGATGCTTTAAATTGCTGATAAAGCTCACTTTTCAGCAACTCGGGCCCCATTTCGAGAGCGACAAATTCTGGAAGGCTTGTTTGTTGATCTTCGTAGCTTGCAATGTAACTCCTTAGACGCGTGCGCCATCGGTAAAGACATTCCGGCATTTGACTCTGGTAGGATTGATGATCGTCTCGAGTGAGATCTCCAGCAGTCAGAGAGTATATATTCTCATTTTTTGACTCCAGTTCACGATAAAAAAGTCGTTTCGTAGCGATCATATACTCTCTGAGATGAAGCATATCAAGATCTACGAATGCAAGTAAAGATGCGAGTAGAATGTGCTCGGGACCCTTGATGATAGCCTGAGAACGAAGTAACATAGTCGCTAGAGCTCTGCAATAGATCCTTCGGAAGCTTAGATCATCATATATATATTTGGTATCATTGCCAGCGTTGTCATCAGGAGCGGTGTCATTGGTAGCGTTATTTTCTTCAACTTGCCCTTCGTAAGTCAGATCCCCCAGCGCACCGCTATTGACTCTTTTGACCCAAGGGATCGTTGTCAAAGTATGTCCCTCATCCCCCTGCATAGTCACCCTTTCTTCAGGGCTATATTCCTGTGGGAGTTCAAGAAGCTTTCCAGCCACCAGAAGTAATGGCAATTGGACACCCCTAGCAAGTGCAAAGTGCCGTGTGATTGCAATGTTTACCTTCAAATGCTCCAGAGTGATGAAACCTGTGGGCCGAAGGCAGGTTTGGTGAATGGGAGACTCTACGGTGAAGAAACTTGGGTCCAGCGCGAAGCTTACACCGAAAGTGTCAACATAGTCAAGCGTCAGAGGTGTTTGTAATAAGACTATACGATGAAGTAGATCGCTACTGAATGAAGTCTGGAGAGCAGAGATCAGTGTACTAGCTGTAGGCTCGGAGTCGCAGTGTAGCTGCACTTTCGTATTACCATTGTCACTCTGGACGATCTTGATTATACTGTTGTTTCTATCCTCCCAACTTGGGTTGGCAATAGAGAAGAGAAGGTTATGGGCAGATATTTCACCAAGATGTTTTTCATCGAACATTGATTTACTCCGAGTCTCAAGATAAGCCTGGTATGAATCAAAACCAGTGGCATATCGAAGCTCCGATAACGTCCTAAGAAGTTGTTCTCGTGTGCTTTTCTCTCCAGGTGTCCGTCGGTGCTCGTCAATATCTTCATATCTCGGAGGGAGGTCCTGGAGGACTGGCCAAGTCTGAGATGCACTACCTTTGTCAATGGTGTGCTTAATGCCATCGATCTCGCTATGAGTATGCATTGTTGAATTGTTCGAAATAGATGATGCGTGGAAAGAACTATTTATCAACACGACAGATTTTAATCTTACATCCCCTTCCCAGCCTCGTCGAAACCGGGTAAGAAGAATGACATCATTCATGCAAGGCACCGTCTTTGGTCTAGCGTCAATGCCAAAGGGCAATGCCCTGAGAATTCTGTGGTATAGGCTCCTGCGAGCTTTCCGATAACTGTAGATAATAGTATCTCGAGCTTACTCATTGTAGCCTTGGGATTAAATTACACGAGAGAAGCGAGACTGCCCAGTGCCTTTTTGATTGAAAAAAATGCCCTACCAGTAGAAGCGATGGCTCCCCAACCGGCTATACCCTGCGACCAGGGTCATAATGAATTATACGCAGTTGAATAGAGCCACGTCTAAGTCACTATATTTTTTAATCTTCTAGACTAGCGGGTTAGGGGTCATATTTTCTAACCTCAACGGCTTACCCTACAATCATCGCCAATGAAAAGGACCCGATTGTGGCAGCACTTGCATTTTCTCATGAGAGAGTGTTTTCCTGCCACCGAAGACTAGCCAGCCTGGAGAACAAGGAGCCATGGGCGCTCTATGGCGTGTGATGCGTAGATCTACTCCTTCAAGCCTCGTTGTAAGAGGAGATGATAAACAAGTGCCAAGAGGAGATCAGTCATCAAAACTCAAAGTCACCTCTGACTTCGTAGAAACGTTGCACTCCGCTAATCATCCCGCGACAATCCTTGCGCTCAAGCCTTGCTTCTGTCTCGGTTACAGCGTGGCGGAAGTACTTGACTTACCCATAACGGGCCCGTGTCTCATCGTGCTACGGGTTTTCGTTCTGGGCTTGAATCTAACCCGCAACGTTTCGATTATGTCTAATTTTGGACGCTGCGACCAATATGCTCTTTAAGTATCCGTAATCGAGCAATAGCCTCCGACTGTAGCGAAGGCTGCGACGAATGATGCGGGCCGTGATAGAGTAAATGTGGCCGTTCAAGGCTACATAGTTTTGTAGGTGTAAGAGCATACGCTGTCGTTTTCACGGCACGAAGAGACATGGTATATAGACTGCGGAGCAATCCCTTCTTGATAGCTTTGCTCGACAGGTATCGCATTGAGTTTAAGAAAAGACCTGTCATACGGTTGTTTGCTTCTTTCTCACCCTGTACAAAATGCTTGGTAATATCCTCTTCCTGTATGTGCTTTCTTCGATGCTCGGTGCCCATGGCCTCGCAATTCGAGAGCCTTACAGTCTGCCATTAGGGGCGATCTTGTTCTCCAGGGCCAATCCTGACTTGTGCGCGGTAGGTACACTATCAATTGATAAACAGATTTACGCATGGCATCAGGAGGTCTTGATACACTAGCTAAACCATGCTTCACCATAGACAATCCCTTGCGACCCCAATCCTCTCCCCAACGCCCCTCTTGATTCAAAAGCCCAAAGCGACGCAGCAGACCAAGCCTGCCAATCGGAAGGCAAAACAAACAACCTGGTCTGCTCAGTCTGCGACCCCGACGATCAACGGGGCCACACAGGCCAATGCAAAGGAGGTGGGCCGGCAACAGACGCAGACAAAGACACGGGCGACGTGGCGAGCGCTTATTTCGGCATTTGCGCAGAGTCAGGCCTTGCGTCTGGTCAATGCATAGGATGTTCCAATCCTCTCCTCGCCATCCCTGACTGCAAGCATTGCCAGAACGCCGATCTTGTAGCGCCTAGCTGTGGTAGCGGGGGCTCGCAGGGTACAACGTCGAATCCAGCTGGGTCTGGCGTTAGTTCTCCTGGAACGCCGGGCAGTCAGCCGGGACAACAAAGTACAGCGACGACAAGCAGTGAGCAGACTAAGTACTTCAAACCCTGTAAGTCCTCTCACGCTGGCTGGGGCTTTGCGTCTCAGACTAAAAAACCCTCTCAATATCTTCGATTAATATTCAATAAGTTCATACTGACCATCTACAGCGGGCGGATTCAAAGGCTGCGACCCAGACCTCGTCACGGACGGCTGTCCCGGCAACGAAGGCTGCGTCGCCTTCGACGCCAATGACGGCGCAGACCAGCAGATCAAGGCCACAATCCAACCTGCGAATAGTCCTGGTCTTTGCCAGCCGAGTTTCGGATTTAAAGGACTCTCCCCTGGTCAGGTGGGGGAGAAGGTCGATACATGCGGTAAGTTGCACTTTTGATCTTTTTCTTGCTTTGTCTGTCTTGAATGTTCTGTTGTTTGCTAGCCTTAGGGTTCCACCTTCGCAGAAGCGGGAGGGATGGGCGGAAGAAAGAAGATTGTGTTGTTATGTTGCCATGCTCAATTTTATGCTTTAACAGAGACTGACGCGGTTTTTTAGGTGGTACACAAGGCCATGTGGCACTGTGTAGCACGGACACCTCGTTGGCTGGGGATGGTGTTTGCGGGGATGGGTGCGCGTGTGTACAGAGGGCGGGTTCGCAGGATCATATCTGTCAGCCTGCGTAGATTTGAGGAATGTCATTTGGCATGTCAACGACTTGATAAATTTCAAAGGGGATGGAATATTGCTCAAGAATTCAGTAGGATATACGCCAGGGTAAGTGTTCGATGAGGTATGTTAGCGTTGGGACTCTAATACACTTTCGTTCCTTTTCAGACATCGTAGAGTCTTCGAAAAGTCCGACTCGTGCCTGTTGCTCATGGTTATGGTATCTGCCGATTTGTAGAGTCACGAATGGAAGTTGTGACATGAGCTCTTCAGTGCTTTTGGTCAACGTTTTCACTGATGACTGATGTATATGTCTCTCGTCGCTCTCATGCACCTTCTTTTGAAATCACGATATCGTGCATCGAACTAGAACGCTTCAGTGCTATCTCCTAGAGTAAAAATACTTGGCAGTCCAGATTTCTTTCCACCAGCAGAAATCTAATGGGCCAATCTCAGACGATTAGACGACCACAAACTCAAAAAGGTAGACATGATGATACTGAACCCTTCACTTAGAAATTTTCACAGCCCCCGGCGCGGCCGGCATCGGCGTCCCCAAGGTAACGGTCACTCTGCTCCTAGCCGGTGCCGCCCAATTAACATCCCCAGTCCCATCCTCCACGCCATTATACCCCACGCTACTCCAAACATCCCCATTTTCACTAAAAGTCGGGTTCTTGAAAAAGAATCTCCCGGCAGCCGGGAAATAGAATTTCTCCGGCCCTGCCAAATCTGCCGCCAGTGCAGCCTCGAGGGAAGAAAAGCGCGTCAGGGCGGCAGCGAAGGCGCTATCGACCCAGCTAGCTAAATTAGTCGATCCGAAGTTTTTGTGGGGGTTGGACTCTTTGGCTTTGCCGCTGCTGCCGAGAACTATGGATGCGGTGGGCGGGGAGGAGGTGAGGGAGGGGGTCGTCATGGCGATTTGGAGGCCGCCGTCTCGCACAGATTGGAGGGTGAGTGTCATCTGCCAGTTGAGGGTATGGTCGATGCTGGGAGATGTCAGAGAGGTTGGAGGAAGAAACTTAGGGAAGGCGTTGGGGGCTCACGTGTCATCCTGCGTGTAACCGCGTTTAACAGACGCGTAGAAGTGCATGTTGGTAGATCCTGTGATGTAGATGGTGGACCATCCTGGCGCGTATGTGAGGGTGTTGCTTGTGCTGCCTGTTTTTGTAGTACTGTTAGCTTTGTCCCCGACTGAAGAGAGACGGGGATAGAATTGTACATGATGCGTCTCCCCACATGTAGGTATCTGTTGTGGACATATTTGGGTGTGAACTCTCCCCATGAAACGAGCAAGATGAATTGAACGTCCAAGTGTGTGGGTCACTCGTTGGCTTGAAGTCGAAATAAGGATCATCTTTGGGATAGGTATGGTTGTTGTTCATGCCAATACAAGGCTGATTTGCTTGCCTGACAGATGGGTCAGGTAATGCAATTTGATGGTCAAGTCATATCTTACCATAGAGGTGCGCTCCAATCGCTCATATCGACAGTCAGACCAGCAATGAAAGCTTCCAGACCCGCGTTCAAGACGCGTAATTTAGGGATAAGATAGCGGTCAAAAAAGCTCGCACGTGACAAACCAAAGTAGCCGAAGTCTGTAGAGGTCGAGTCAGCAATCTGACCGCTTCCATCAAGCAGGTCAATAGCAGCTGCACTAGCCCAAGGACCGCGGTTGCCAGCCTCAGAAATGGCCTGCAGCTGGAAATAGCGACCGGGCGTTGGAGCCCACCTGACCACCTTGCTGCTGCGGTCATCTACCCATCTATCGCTTGCCAGAGTCGTCCATTTAGTCATGTCCCCACTTACACGAATTGAAAATTTACCGATGGTGCCATTGCGCGTGATGTCTTGTCGCGGAGTGTACACAAGCCCAGAGATTGGCTTCCACCCAACCTTGCTGGCCATCTGATAGAGATCGATTGTGAATGTATGGGGATAGGCAGGATTTCCAGAGTACGAAGTATGCCAGATAGTATCCATACTCTGGTCAGACGCATTTGAAGCTGAAAATCCTGACTCGGCGCTATCTGCGCTCACTTGCCAGTCACTTTTGTTCAAGGCGCCGCTGAGTATATTGATTTCAGCAGCACTTGCCCAAGCATTGCCGCTGACTTCCGAGAGGGCAGTCAACCTCACCACCCGAGCGTACGAGCTACTGAAGAAGACTTGCTTCAAAGAAGTGTCATTAGCAAAAGTACCGACTGCGACGTCGGGACCCCAGGATAAACCGTTGATACTAAGCTGTATGCTGTATTTTGCAATCCGGCCATTGGGGGTAGTATCTTGACGAGGCAGATATGTCAGTCCATTGACAAGCTGCGTTGTATGCATGTCGATGGTTATGGAGTGAGGATATTGCGTCAGTGTGGGTGAGTATTGTGTGTGCCAAAATGTCATATTTGAGCTATCAAGTGCCTTTGTAGGCTCGTTACAACTTTGAGCGCTACTTGCAGCGACGGTAAAAGTGTTTGTTGGTAGGACTCTGTAGGTGGCCAGAGTCGGTGGGATACTAGTTGTCCAGTTGCCATTGAAAGGCACATCGACATCGCTGCCGGTCGGAGCTACTCTTCCTTGGGTCATTTCCATAAAGCACAGGGAGTTCAAGCGTGCGTTGCCTTGCAGACCAAAAGATGGCTGAGACAATGGAGATTGAGCGATCCACGGGTAGCTTTGCATGTGAGCGTAGGTTGGCACAAACGTGGGTGGATGATCAGTGACTGAGTTCAAGTCAGCATGGAACTTTCTGGGGGCTGGTAAGGTATTGGGCATGAAGCGTACTTGAGGCAGGATTGGCTACTTGTGCCGAGTAGCCGCTCGCCAGTAGGCCTAAGGATTTGAGGCCTGCAAATTTAACGGCGAGAAGAACACCAAGAATTTTCATGATTGCAGGTGTTACATTACCACTGTTAGCGCCGAAAGAGGTCAAGCTCGGAAGAGGATTGGCCCAGAAAGTGCTATCAGTGGATACGGGTAAGTTGATGAGGAGCTGATTTATCGAGTAATTACCGGGAACAGCCATCTTTGATTGCATCTGCTTGTATAAGGCTGTTGTTGTATCTAACGTGCTGTTTGACAGGCTTGCAGGATATGCAAGCCGAAACCCAGACAGATCAATAGAGCTAGGGGTTTGATTCTTGGCCATAAAGGTACCAGACTCGATCCTGAATTGGAAGACGATTTGTGATTGTTGCATGACAATCCGCGGCGAGCTGAAAGTGACATTCTGAATGACACCAAGATCGGCATCTTGTATGGTGAAGGACACAATCGCGGGAGTATCGCTATTAGCTTGTTTGGCCCAGAGATTGTCTATGCCATTGTTGATGAGATACCTGGCTGCAAATCAGGATGTGACAGATCTATGTTAGGGTTAACTTACTGGGTCAGTATCATGCCTTGATCATATTTGCCAAGCTACTGGCCATCAGATGCTGTTCGGTTACTTCGGGAGTCTCACGTACAGATACTGTCGGCGCGCTTCCAAGACCCATGTTGGCGATACGGGTCAATCTTAGGTAAAAGTAGATTGCAATGGATTACGAAGTCCGCTGCTGAGATGAAGCTAAGTTTACCCAAAAAACAGTGGGAATTGAATTGCAAATATATATTCGTGGAGAGAGCTGGGAAGCGGTCCTTGAACGACGGACAGAACCACTCTATAGCCCGATCCGAAGTTGGTAAAAAGACGAAAGGCTAGTGGAAGGTCATCCTACCTGTGGTTCATGCTCTCTTGGTTCTGATACGATCATCAATGCATTTTGCAAAGGCACTAAAGCCAATAGGAAGTGCTGGGTAAGAAAGTGATGTAGGCGGCTTGCGGAAGTTGAGCTGAAACTCTAGAGTTTGCGTCCCGATACTTTGTCACTGCAGTCCATCTTTGGAGCGAGATGTAGAAAGTCGTCAAGGGTCATAGCTGAGAGCTAACCCACGCCGCTTGACAAGACTTGTGTACGAGGCAAGCTTAGCACTCCTATCCAAAGCCGTTGTATATGAGCACATGATCATCTTGAACCACGCTGAGAAGGTAGTCCGATAATACTTGTGCTAGACAGACATAGTCAATGGGTTGAACTATATTCTGCTTCTTTTCGAGCTAGTATATGGAGACGGACCTGCCAAGAACTGAAGCCAAGGACGCCAAGCTCCAAGCCAGTCCGATCACGGTAAGTGCCTTGGCGCTCTAGACCTTTCTAGCGCGGTTCTGGCGTGCTAGCTCAACGGTCGTGGCGTTCGTTATGCGAGCTGAGCCACAGTCCACCACATTTTTAGCATTTCCCCTCTACGCTCCTTTAGTCCCCTTGCAACAAGCTTCAACTAACAAATGTAAGCGAAGGGCTTCTCCTGTTGTAGGGCAACGACCGATTGAAGCTTCAAGCCTCAAGAGGAAATCCCCTGCTGAAACCCAGATTCCAGAGCGCGTCGTCTCGTATTTAGGAGCCGCCTTAGGGTTGACATAACCCTGAGCTGAAATGGAAGTATGCAAGATGACGCATAAATGTCGTAGCCTCTACGCCAGGGGCTGGAATACACAAGTCCTTCTACCTCCATTGGACGACCACGACCATGGGGATAGCCCTACCAAATTGTAGCCATCTCGGAAAAGTCAATACCGAAGCTAACCAAAGAGCGGTGCGAGAGTTCGATATCAGCCCTTCACGTCGTACTCAAACCTTGAAGGGCGCGCTAGAACCGTACAGTCGATGTACTCGGATCTTATAATGGCCGTTAGAAGACACCTATGGAAACATAAAACATTGCAAACAGAGCAGTAGCATTAATCTGACAATATCCACCCACACTTGAATAGAGCTCAGCGATTCAACAACTATCTTCACAGCCATGGCTTCCATCCTGTGGGACTCAGAGCTCATGACGAATTATGTCCCTGCTCTACCTGTTCCCCCTTTGAGCCATTTCGTTACATGTCTCGACCCCGTGTCACGACGCCCGATGGTCTTTGCTATCAGCAATGATGCAGTGCCAAAGTTGCAAGTCGTCAAGGTTTGAGCACCCTTCTGTCGATACACGTTGAAAACACCTAGCAGCTAACGAACACTTCCGACCAGGAGGATGAGAATGGGGTGACTCGCCTCATCGATCTTGGTCCCGCTCTGGGTATATCCAAAGACACGCCGGTAGTGGCATTCGACTGCCAGCAAAGTGCTGACCTCAGCATCTTTCTCTGTGTCGCTGTTAGAAACAGTGCAGCTGAATGTTCCGTCCTCGTTGTCCAGCCTTTTCAAATGACCACGAACCCCATTCTGAAGCTTTTGCCGCAGCAAATAGTTGGATCAGTCGATAAGATTTACGTCGTAAGCTCATAGTCTCTTAAATCTGTCCCTATTCAAGAACCCTTTCTTCAAATTTTCGTCGTTGTGCGTGTGAAACTTGCTCACCCAACTTCACTATTCAGGGCTGTCCCGAAGCAAGTCGTGGCGCTTGGCCCCTTATACTCGTCATGGCACAGCCTCTGGGCTCTTCTACTCAACCTACTGCCGCTACCCAGTCCCAGTCCAGCTCTCAAACATCCCTGTCACGCTTTCGCGCAGGTCTTGATGTGCTTGGCTTGACCTGGCCGACATCTACGATCGCTACGGCCGCTCAGCAGACACCCCAACAGGTGTCTCAACCATTGACGCCGCCAGGAAACAAGGGAAGTGATATCATCCGTATTCTAGTCAACGACGCCATGGGGACTACGCAGACCTTGAGTGACATGAGCTTGCCTTTGAACGTGGATCGTATCATTGACGTTGCGCCTGCTGCCAATGCCTTCGGGCGTGGGTGAGTTGGTTTCGAATTGCGATGGTCGTGTACTTATGTTTACAGATTATACGCCCTTGTATCGGTCCAAGGAAGCCCGTGAGTTTCAGCTTGCAAGCGCTTCTCTTTCTGAGCCTTCCTTACCCTTCGTAGGTACCTTGTCGGTGAGTTTGTTCGCTTCGATACAGATCAGAATGACGGAAGTCTGTTCTGGTACACTTTGAGCTTGCAATGTCCGGCTGGTGGGTGCCAAATCCCCTTCACGTGCCTCTCAGCTCATCAATGCAGGTGCTTCGAGCATTGCCACGATTACCGATCGCTTCGGTCGATCATCACTACTTGTCGGATGCACTGCGGGTCTGCAATTCTTCACCTGCAGCCAAGCTACAGATCGCACCCAGACGGGCACACTTCTCACCTCGGACCCTCTGTTCTGTTCCCCATCAATATTGAGGATAGCGCAAGACCAAGACAGCGTCGTAATCTGGTCACTCAGTGGCCAGAAGACTTTGGGATATACAGCAGTCAGCGCTAGCGCAATGGGTTCTGGAACACCTTGCCCAGTCCTACCAAGTACCTCTTTCACTGGATTCTCAGCATGTGTCTCGAGTCCAAGCCCACAGTCAGGACCTGCAATATCTCAAACACTGATTGCCAACGATACGGTCGGCAATCTCAGTCTCCTGCAACAATTCAGTGACTCCAAGCTTTGGCGTTCCCAACCTTTCTATGTTGCAGCCAGCGCAGACGTCATGGCAGTGCCGAGTTACACAATCACGATTTCTACCACCACAGGTGTGGCAAACACTTCCACTTCTAACGGAAATATCATCATGTCCGCCTCATCGTCTAACAATGTGATATGTAATGGCTCAGCTGCTACATTGACTACCGCACCAACAGCCTACCCACTGGATGATGCTGGACAGCTTCACCTTATTGTTGCCACAGACAGCATAGCGGCTCAGACACTGACACTCTCAGGCCTCAAGGACGCCCAAGGCAAGGACCTCAGCGTGGGCACAACATACGTCGACCCTAGTCGCAAGATCATAAAAGCACTTTCCCAATTCCAGACGGGAGACGATTTGACTGCTGCTTTGACGCAAAAGCTTCATCCCCCTCTCGCACCAGGAGATGTCCCAGACAAAGGCTTGCTTAAAGACGCTGCTGCTGGTATTCAACAACTTGTGAGCGCAGCATCGCAAGTTCCTGCCAGTGGAAATATTCCTGTGACTAGCAGTGCTTCAATGCCTGTCCATTCGTTTTCGGACTTCTGGGCATACGTAAAACAGAATGCGACCAATGTTGGGTCATGGTTTGTTCAACAATCAAGTCAGTTGACCTCAACATAGGTGATTCATAGAAATAACGCTGAGTCTCTTCAGGCATCTTTCTGACATTTGTCGTGAAACTCTACAATGAAACTAAGACATTCATTCTTGACACAGTCGAGAAGATTGGAGTCGCTCTACAATTCGTAAGTTGAGCGTCACAGACTCTTCAAAATCTTACTAATGGTACTTCAGATTCTTGATAAGATCAAACTTGGGATCGACAAATTGGTTCAGCTCTTGGGCTATGTTTTTGACTGGAACGCCATAATGACCCTCAAAAGAAACATGAAAGATATAGTGAACAGTGCGTTAGATTATGGTGCGCAAGAGATCATGGCTGCCCAATCGAAAGTCGACACGTGAGTGGATCCTGAATTATCACAACGGTGGGGCGCATAGCTAATGTCTCTCAGCTTTTTCGACATGCTGGAAAGCAGGCTGCCACAGAGTCAGACTGCTCTTGACCCTGCATTCTCTGATAAGCTCGCAGAGACGGGCGGGTCACCCGATCCAAGTCTTGCTTCGGGCACAGCGTTGAATTGGGCTGGAGAGCGTCTCAAAAGTGGTTCCATCGCAGATAATCCAGCGCTCGATGGCTTTGACAGTATGTATTCTCCCATCGAGAAAGGTATGAATGCTAAAGAGCAAAGGTATTGGTGGAACAGACGACATAACCCAAATGATAGAAGATTCAGTCTCTATCAACACCGCCCAATTTGAGGCTGTATTCAGAGCCTTAGCTAAAGACGTTACGGATTTATTCCAGAGTCAGGACGCAGCGACCGCAATCGATGCGCTGAAGAATCTCGGCAAAGATCTCCTGTTTGATGCCATTGAGGGCATGAGATTCTTGGCAAAGGCTCTCCTGAAGATTGTCGCGTCGATAGTCCTTCTCATCAAGAAGATCGCCAACACCACGTGAGTACTCTGCTTAGTCTGTGGAATAGTATCCCTAACAGTGGTGGAAAGTATACAGATTCCCATATTCACTGGCCTGTACAGATTGATCAATGAAGGCGACGCGCCTAGTATATTGGACATTGTCTGCTTCTTGATTGCAGTGCCTGGGTCAGTTGCATACAGGGCGGCGAACGTAGGCAACATGCCCCCTGTAATCAACGCAAATGACATGACCAATTTTGCTTTCGATCCGACTTCGATAGGAGACACCACGCCCGCTGCAAATGCACCAGACCAAGGTTCGGCGCAGCCTGCAGCGAATATCGCTTCCGCCGCTACCATCGTGCCATCGGCTCAAAGCTCGACGATATCTACCGGAACTCAAGACTCAGCAGAGCCTGTAGCGAACGCCAGTTTTGCCGCTATCTTACCAGCAGCCCAAGGCTCGACTACATCTCCAACAGCGCCTACGTCCAGCAATGCGCCCCCTTCCTTTACATTTCAGAACCCAAAACCCTACAAGTCATCTGGTGGCAGCGAACTGTCGAGTAAGCCAACGCCGCCCGCCCACCTTACCCAAAAACCCCCGTCCACTCGCTAATTCCCACCTAGAATTCCACATCAACCCCTCCGACAACCTCGCCCTATTCGGGTCTCAAGTAGCAGGCATGCCCTCGCAAGTCGCCGACGGCGCCATCGTCGCCTACAAATTCATCACAGACATCGACCCGAAACCCAGCGCGCTAACCGCCGTCATCTCCGCGTGCATGGCAGGCACGGGGCTGATCAAAGGCGGCATCATCGCCTACACTGCGGGCAGCGCACTCAAACAAACGCCCGGGAGCAGCAACCCGGCCGGGGACAAAGGCGCGACGAATCTCAAAGGCACCGCGAACTCCATCCCGCCGGGCAAGATGAAATACCGGTACATAGCGGTGGCGATCCCGACCATCGGCGCCATCTTCAGCCTGCTGAAGCAAGACTTCGACGTTGCGGGGAGCCGGCCTAGGTGGTATACGGCGTATCTGACTCTGATTAATGGCTTGATGGGGTTTCTGTGCAGCGCGATCGGGAAGGGCCAGGTCGATACTGAGGCGGAACAGGGCTTGCAAGCCATCAATGCCGTTATCAACACTATCAATTTCGTCTTCTTTGCTTTCGCGTACGATGAGGAGCTTAAGGCCGCCGCAGCTGATTTGCCGAACGCGGGGGGAAGGGGGGAAGGGGGGAAGGGAAAGTACGATCCCTCCGTCGCGAGCAAGTTGGGGATCGGGGCTATGTGCATGAATTATGTGGGGCAGGATTTTGGGACGGGCGCGTTTTATGCGCTTAAGGAGGAGGAGTATGAAGTTGCGGTGCCATTGCTGGCGGGGCAGATGAGCTGGAATTTCGAGTGTACGGCTGTGGAGATGTTTAGGTGGTGGGTGATGTTTAAGGGGGGGTGTATCCTACTATTGCGAGGCCTTGGTGAGTGAGAAGGAGAATTGGCTGGGGAAGAGGTTGGCTTTGTGTGAACTGTGGGTTCTTCGTTGTTATTTCCTGCTTCGTTCCTGGCTTGGAGCATTTCAATTCGTTCAATGACTTGAAGAAACGCCAAAACCACCGCCCTTTGATTGCATGGCCTGCGTAGGCGGCATCTTCGCCTCCCGCCAAGCCGTGGTGTACATCTGGCCATGCGAAGGCTGGTCATCCCATTGCCGTTTCAGACACAAGCATGTCGATTAATAGCCCTTGCTTGACAGCATCGCACTTCTCCGACGTGTACTGGTTTTGCTATTCGCACCAGGCGCCGCACTACTCGAGACTTTTGCCCCCTTACCGCTACTGACATTGCAAGTCATTAGGGCGTCGGAAGAAATATAGTATATTTGACCACACTCTATGTAGAGGCAATACTCATTTCCTTCTGTGATCGTAGGTTGGAAAAATGATGTCATCTTTTTTCCAATGGGGGTTGATCCCGGACACAGACGCTTTGATCAGACATTGTATGCTAGCACGAATGCCATCTGATCCATGGCTTTATTACTCATGATCCACGGTATACACCTCAGGAGGTATGGACGTTGGGAAATCCTGCTAGGGATCACAAATCAGAGATTTCTTCTTTGCATTGAGTCAAGAAATGTTCAACAAGGTGTAATATTTAAGAATGTCATGATACTAAGGCTCAATTAGCAAGAATCTGGGCGGCTGCGTTATTGCGTCGGTCACCGAAAACATTCGTGCCAAACTCCAACTTAACCGACGAAGGCGGTCATTCTGTATTTGCACAATAGCTTCTCTTCCATCTTCGTGCCAAATGGAAAGGTCTTCAAAGAACCACTGAATGTGACATTCCTTGCAGGGATGCTAAGAGCCCCTTTTGCCGAGATAGACCGGTACAAGACCCGATTAGCCTGCATTTTGATGCAGTGTAGGCTTCAGATCCTGAACATGGCTCTTTGAACGCTTATGCACTGGATGCAAAAGCACTCCTTTCTCATATCCCTGGCTCGACCGATAGCGCGTTCAATCATGGTTTTTGTAAATCAATGATCCTCTTGACAGGCGCCACGGGCTTTATTGGCTCATACAATCCAAGTGCTTCTCTAAGGCTCGATTCAGTAGATATCAGCAATGCACTGAACTAACTACCTATCTCTCGAGTCAGTCAGATCGTTGTTGACGTTCTGGGGCGGCCTCTTGGCGTCGCCCAAGTTATGACTAATCCTAGTATCACCTGTGATGTCTCCAAGGTACTATGACAAGGCTGTCGCAAAAGTATTACTGTATTTGTCGACTAAGAGAACGATCAAAATGACTTCGCGCTTCTTCCTCTTTTGCACTTTGTTATGGAAGTCCTTTCTACTACTACGGTCACCGAAGTAAGGGGATAATTTTATCGCTGTGGCACCGGAGGTTCATCTGGAGACCGATAAAGGTATCTTTTTTAGGCCTTTCCCTGTCGGTACTTTGATTTCATATCTGACCTTTCCCGCTGCGACCGACTTTTTACGAATCATAAAGGGGTACTTGGGAGCTACCAGAAATCTCAACATACGCTATACAAGCAGCGACTATATCAGGCGATCGGTCGAGTAGGTTTAAAAACGCCTCAGCTTCTGGTGCTTTCACAAAGTAAGAATACTTGTTTGGAGAAGAAGTCTGATTGTGGTATGTTTCTTACAAGATTATCGAGTTTAAATCAATGCGGCAGCTACAACATGAACAAACATTCAACTCAAGTAGACAGTCATCCCTTTCTGAGTGTTATTGCAACCACCGGAAACATGAAGAGGCGAGCTTTAAGTCCCTTTATAGATAGGCCAAACCTCAAAGAAGTCACTCTCACAGGCTAAATTTCATGACGAATTCTCTATCAGGCGCTCTCTTCACTTAGACAATGTCTTTCTATCCTCTAAGCATCGTTTCATTAGGACATTATAGCCATCTCGTAGCTCACCACGGTTGTCATGCCTCCGCGGCAAAGAAGTTCTATCCTTAAGAAATACACACCCAAGGATTTCGGACCTTTCGTCAAGTGCTCGTAACCAACCATCACGTACCCCATTGGTCATCAGTAGCGACAGGCATTCTGGGGCTTGTGCACGGACGGCTGCTTCAATTACATTCCGGAGAAAAGCCTTACCGTTACCTGTAAGGTCTATCAGGAGGTTCGCCCCCTTATCTATCAGCACCTGAGCCACACGAATCATATTCGATGAAAGGGCTTCCATCAGAGGTGTACGACCGTCAAAAACAGATATATCAATATCCGTTCCAACATCAACAAGCAAAGTAGCTATAGCTGGGAAGTCTGGGGTTTCCGAATACATGAGATCGTGTAAAGGTGATGTGAAATATGATCCGGTATTACCATCTACGTTTAGTCCATTATGGAGCAAGAAAGCAAAGGTATCGGCGGTAGCGTAGTTAATGGCGAGATAGTAGGGAGTTATGTTTGGGTTGACAATGGGCTGATACATCGGATCTGCCCCATGAGAAACCAGCAACTTCACCAATTTTTCCTGCCCTTGTTCGAGGGCATATACCAACGGAGTTGCGAATGTAGACTCGCCCATGATTTGCATATATTTCTGCGCATTTACATTAGCTCCATCTTCCAATAGACGTTCTACAACCGATAATTTATTCTGACCCTCACGGGATACAGCTGAGAATAGGAGCTCGTTCAAGAGGCTTTGGTCGGACGTGGCCACGGGCTCAATGATGCGGAACATTTGGTCATAATCGCCCCGAGACGCTGCAACTAAAGCTCTTCTATTCTTCAAGGAGAGGAACTGGTACAGTTTAAGCAGGCCATTAGGGAGTTTCCGATGTTTCTTGGGGATGCTGGTGACTTCTGTTTTGGCTGCCTCCGAGATTTGGGTTTGGCTTGTCAAAAACTCATTTGAGGGAGACTCTGCTTGCAGATTCACACCTATAGCTTTATCGTCTGTTTCAACCGCATCTGCGATCCAGTTGACAATGAAGTCCCGATTGGCCTCAAAAGCTGCGAGACTAATACCGGCCCCTTCTAGATCTTTACGAATCTCACGCCATGCCAGTCTTTCAGCCGGGGTCAAGCTGTCGACTGTTTGAGTTGACATGATCGATCCTTCCCTCGTATTGGGATCCGTGTCGGTGATAAGCTTGTTGAGATTTTGCTCGACCTTCATCTCAGATGTGCTGAGCAAAGTCAGTAACCTTAAGCATAGTCTGGAGAACAAAGTATACCTAATAAGCACATTGATCATCGTTACATTCGACGTCAGCCGCGCACGATACTCCGCAACGTCCCTCTGAGCAAACCCCAACCGATCACGCTTCCCTTTGTCCTCAGTACCAAGACTCTCATACTTATCAACCAGACTTTGCAGGTCATTGAGTATCGCCACGCATCCATCCGTCACCGTCTTGATACTCTCGGTGCGTTCAGGCGTCAGCGGACGGGAGAAGAGGATCCTCTCCGCTTCCTTCACTACGACGTGAAGCGAGGCAACTTCTTGCGCCATTTTTCGGAAGCTCTCCGGGGCTGCTTTGCAGGCTTTATATACTTTCCAGGCCAACTCGCCTAAAGCGATGAAATCTCCGACCCCGAACCCATACGGAACAGGCATGGCAAACAGCTTGTTGGTATCACTGCAGCCGACTCAGAGCTTATATGGCGGATTCACGGCATAAACGAACAAGGGCTGGAAGGGTTTGAAGATAGAGGACTTAAGGCAGATGAGGTCGCTGTCAGCCCCTCCTCGCTGTCTAGCTCCAGCTTTGTCGGCTACGTCATCCAATCGGTAGAGTTGTTCTTGCATAGCCGATACCCTGGATCGGCTATAGTTGTGGCCATTTTCTAAGCCCTTTTCTTAGAAAATACACGTACAAAACCCACATCCATATCTTTCAAGTCGTTACGCTCTGAATCTGAAAGCCAGTCCAAGCCAAAACGTACGAGCCATTATCAAGGCAGCGGTCGCTTAAGAGAACTTGATCAGATCAACTGATGCTTATGCCGAAGATCTGCTTTTCATTTCGTAGTGATTCTTGGATGGATTCTCGAGACTCATTTGAAAAGATCCACCGAGGTGTCTGGCCCCTTCGCTAATTTTCGCAGGGGCAGCCATCAAGGTGGGATCATGCTGTAGAATCAAATAGCAGCGCCGAATACTGACCACAACAGCGAGAAATGCTTGGAAGATCAATCCATAGGCAATGTAGAGGAATTAGTGCGTGTTCAAGCTATCCATTGAAGAATGATAGCATGGCCTCCTGCATAAGCTAAGAGATAAGATCACCGAATTAGGCCTAGTCCAGCCCTACCTGGCTTGGCACCCGGCTCTGCTTCTACCTTACTATCCTGTTCCTAGACAGCTTCCTACTAAATCAATCTCTTGTCACTGTTATAAAACCTATTCTATATGAGCTTCAAAGACGACGAATATGTTCAGGGGCATAACCATTTCTATGGATGATCTAAGTTATCGAGCAGTGATTATAATGAAAAAAATGCTAGGCTTCAGGCGATCATCTGATCCAGTATTATCATATTTCATATCTTTACAATATACACCCAGCCTTGCCAGGACAATCATGAGCCGTCTATGACTTTTACAAGACCGTTAGCAACTTTAGCCCTTCACTATACACACGCCATAATCGTCCAAATCATTACCATCACCACCCCAGCCATTTGCCACGGCATCACCATACTCGACATCCCAGCGCCCACAAACACCTGCGCAGTAGTTCCTGACGTATTACCACCCCCAGTCCCCGTCGCACCCGCCGTCATCGTCACACTAGCAGTCCCATTGACACTAACAACCCCATTCCCTCCCAAACTCAAAACATCACCATCCACAGTAACGGCAGCCCCCCAGGAAGCACCGTCGATCCAGCAACCACAAACCCCGTCGGCAGCGCCGTAACCACCTCCCCATCTCCCAACGTAACGATCGCACTCCCCACAACCCCGTTGATCGGCACAAGCGCCGTCGCCACCCCATTCACAACCGCAGTCTTCCCATCCGCTCCCAACGACACCGTCGTGCCGGACACCGTCACCACGCCGCCAGGCGCCAATGTCTGCCCAGCAACCACGAACGCGGAAGCGGCGTTTGCTGTGAAAACCTGGCCTGCGATCGTCAAGGATGGAGGCGGTGTGATGCTCGGATGGGAGAGAAGCTGCGTACTACTCCCTACGACAGCGGTCTTGCCCGCCGCGTCGACGGAGATGGCAGTGCCGGACACGGTGATCGCTGCGCCGCCGGGCGTGAGGGTTTGAGAGCCGATGACGATGTCGCCTGCCCCGGCCCCGCCCGCGCTGGTAGCTGGTGAGGCGGTGTACATCTGGCCCGCGAACGTAAGGACAGCGGGCCCTGACCCCACCGCCCCATTCTCCACAGCAGAAGTCGGCGCAGGGGTTTGGAGAGCTTGCGTGCTCCCCCCAACCACGACCGACTTTCCGCCACTTGGTAATACGATGGGTGTGCCCTGCACGTTCACCGTGCCACCAGGCGTGAGCGTCTGTCCCGCGATCACGAACGCAGAGGATGGGTTCGCGGTGTACACCGCCCCCGCCACACTCAAAGTAGCCGGCGCAGGTCCCAACGTGCCAGCTACAACACTCCCCCCGCTCGCCACGGAGATGAATTGGCCATTCGAGGTGAAGGCTGGTGCACCTGCTGAGAGCGTCTGCCCCGCCACGACTGCGGCGGAGGGGTTGATAGCTTGCACCGTCTGTCCCTGGATTTCGACTGCGTGGGGTGTGAAGGGTTGCGCCGCTGCTGCTGCTGCTGGTGGTGCGTTGGCTTGACCCGCTGGCACTGCTGGGTTCTGTGGCGCTGCTGCGTTGGGGGGAGTGTTTACCTGGCCAGCTGGCGCCGCGTTCGAGCCTGGAGCTGGGGCGGCGTTTTGACCTGTCCCAGTCCCTGCGCCTGGGACTTGTCCGGCTGCGGCTGCGGCGGGTTGCTGGCCTCCACTTGCGACATTTCCTGCGTTGCCTGCGGGAGATGATCCGGCTCCTGCTGCTGGTTGACCTCCTGCTGGCTGACCTCCTGCTGGCTGACCTCCTGCTGGTTGACTTCCTGCTGCTGGTTGACCTCCTGCTGCATTTGGTGGTCCTGATGCGCCAAATGCTGCATTCACGACCTGGCCGACTCCGGGTGTTGGTTGGGGTTGCGCTTGGGGTTGGAGTGCGACTGTTGTCTGGGCGATCGGTACGACTGGTGGTGCTTGTGGGTTTTGCTGACTTGACCCGCCAGTGTTTGGTTTTGGATCTGCTTTCGCGGCCGAGTTTGGATCCGCGTTGGTTTGTTTCTGGTTATTCGGGTCTGCTTTCGCGGCCGAGTTGGGATCTGCGTTGGTTTGCTTCTGGTTGTTCGGGTCTGGGGATGCATTGGTGTTTGCACCTTGATTAGCTGGCTGCTGAGCATTTGCATCTTGTTTCGGTGCTTGTTGACCTGCTGGTGTTTGAGCCCCAGGGTCCTTCTGAGACGGATCATTTGAAGCCTGGTTCTGCGATTGGGCGTTTTTCCCATCCTGGGCTTGAGGGGCAGCTTGATTTTGAGGATCTGCTGCTTTTTGGTCCTGCGCCTGGGTCTTCGGATCCTCTTGAGCAGGTTGAGATGATTGTGCAGGGGTTTGCGCTTTTGGATCATTGTTGCCATCGCCTGCATTGGCCTTCTTAGGATCTTCGGTCTGAGCTTCTGCGTCCGGTGCGACCATTCCCTGCCCATTTGTCGACTGCTTCACCTGCGGATCCGCCGTTTGCTGTGGACCTACCACTGGAGCCACAGGAGATGCCATCCCTGCACTCCCAGGGTCTCCAGCTGGAGCCATGTTTTCGCTTGTCTGAAGTGCCCGTGGTGGATCATACACCCCACAGGGCATCACAAAAGGACCATCACGAGGCGCATTCTTACAAGCGCCCCATGCTGGGTCTAGACCCAAGATCTCATTGGGAACGAGAATGACGGGATTGTACGGAGCGCCGTATGTGGCGGTGAGGTAGCGATGACCATCGCACACGGTGTAAAAGGGATCAGAAACACCCCAAGTTGGGCATGCGATATCTGCTTGCTTCAAGGTGTCGATGACCACATTTACATAACCTCCCTGTGAGCGACAAGTCGAGGGCCATGAAGCGTAAGAGGCTGTGGTGATGGCCTGCACAGCGAATGGTTTCGGGTTGGTATATTGGCCGCCTTTCACTCCACATGAATCAGAAACCGAGAGACCTCCCACCACCGATATGTAGGTTGAAGGGTAGGTGAACGTAAAGCCATCTAGAACCTGCGATCCTCCGCCTCCAGCAACCTGCGCAGAGGCAAGTGACGTCGTCGCATTCCGCGCATACGAGTTGCCGGCTGCTGGAGCCCCAGTCGGCTTTGCGTCCTGTTCATTCAATCCTCGCCCGCAAGCGGTCTTCACTGACTCGGTACGGAAAAAGTATACGGACACCTTTTCTGCAAGGACAGAGCACTGCCCGCAACCGGATGAACTGCTAGAGCTATTCAGACTATTAGTATTACTGGTTGCGCTCAAAGAAGGCGCTGAGGTTATTGTCCCCGAGATCGAAGAGGATGTTATATATGATGGCAAGGGTAATGATGTCGTAGTACCAGAAGACGGCTTTTGAGACGAAGGGAATGTAAATGGTGATAAAGATGAAGATGATGATGAAGAAGAAGTTGAACTCGATGAAGATGAGCTCGATGAAGATGAACTTGATGAAGATGCGACGTTGGGTTTTACAAATTTCTGCTGAACCTGTACGGCAGCAGGTTGTTGCACAGGTGGGGCCGCCTGCTGCTGTTGCTGTTGCTGCTGCTGCTGTTGCTGAGCTGGTGCTGGATCCTGCTTTGGTGAAGGTTCTGGATCAGGCTCTTTCTTCGGCGGATCAGCTGCAGGTGTAGGATTCGATGGAGGAGCTGTACCATATACGGCAATCGAAGCCGTACATGGTAAAGTTGGACAATCTTGAGCCTGAGCTGAGGCGACGAGGAGAAGGCATAGATAATGATACAGGTTGAGCCCCCGCCTGAAGCCACGGTCAGCTTTGGGCTTCATACCAAACGTTGGTCTCGCAAGTCTCGCAAGATTGAAACAACAGTGATGGGCACGCCGCCATGATTAGTATATCGAACGGGATTGGCACTAAGGCACATCAAAGGGGAGCGAGATACGATCTAGGCATGAGTGAGCTTCAAGATTACGGGTGGCGCAGTGGATATCGTGACTAAATCACGACTTCACCCGCTCTCGGCCAAGGATAAGTCGGCATTGAGCACGCTAAGCGCTGTGATTTCTGCCAGTCAGTGGCTAGGGCATCAGTGCTGAAACAGACGAAGGATGTAGCGTGGACTTTAACAGCACTAGAAGCTTGCCAAGTTCTTCAGGCTATCGACGTTCCTGGATAAGTCTTCACGCCTTAAGGCACCCCAGCGTACCTGCACATGAGTCTTGTTCTAAATCTGTTTCGACCCAGCCTCCGGACCGCTGGGACCTTACAGTAGCTTGCTGCCCTTGCTGGATTCAAGAGAGAGGGTACTCTTGTATTACAACCAGGACATCATTGTTAATGTGTGCCTTCAAGAGCCATATAGGGTTCCCAGCTGAGAGATGCTTTACGGCGCGATCTCACCTCAATCCTACTCACGATCACTACTTTCCAAGCACAGGCCTAGAAAACCCGGAGCGAAATTGGAAGGATTCGTGATGTGGGGTTCTTCCTGGCTACTGCGCCGCGAACTAGCATAGTGCTTACTTAGGCTGACCATCGTCAATTTACCGAGAGGCACAGCGCACCAGGACATCCGCGCCCATGAAAATAAAGTCCGACCTTAGATCATCTACCCAGAGCTTCTTGGCATGACCATCTTGAGTCAGTAATTTCGCGGAGGTTGCTACAATGAGGATGGAACTTCACACTAAGGTTATGGAAACGTCAAAGGCCATGCGAGCGCCGCGAGCCTAGAGGAAAGGAGGACATACCCTTATATGTGCCGTTCGAAGCGAAACATCTGGCACGGGAGGGACATTGTTTCAGTCCCTGGGCAGAGCCATGCTAAAACGGCCAGCAACAAGATTTGCCTCGTGAGGATCTAGGAAAGTCGCGATACTTTGCAATTTTGATCACAATAATGATGAATGACAAGATTTGGATGACTTCATTGAAGGGCTGGCGATTAATCGCCAGTCAAGGTATACCGTCCATGTTCATACTCTTCTCTTTTTAAAAGCTCGCCAGTTACGATCTCACCATACCGATGTAATAATTGCATTCTTATTCGAAGTCTGCCTTGACACACATCGTGGGCAGCTAGATACCTTGTCAAGACCCAGACATCTCATGCAGCGCTTTGGCCTTGCGCAATGCTTGATTCAGGCTCTTGCGCGTCAGGCTGTATGTTGCTTTTTATCTCGCATTGCTTAAGAAATTAACTCTCTGCTCGCTGCTGAATATGGAAGTCGTTACTTTTCTTCATGGCGGAAATCGCATCTGTGGATGCTCCATCATCCTTGGCTGAGGCTCCCAAGTCACATTCATCATTAACAAAATATTCCTCGTCAGCAGAGAAGCTTGATGAGGGCACAAAGAATCTGGATGCCAGAGTGGAACCGTCATCTGGCTGGGCTGTCCATCGGACCACAAAGATCTCGCGGTTGAATCGTCTCTTGAAAGAGTCTTGGATAGGAGAGATAGTGGCCTGGTGCTTTGCAGCAGCCTCCGTAATATCAATCGTCATCATCCTGTTCATCTACAAGGACAAGCCTCTGACGCGATGGCATGCGCTCATCACTTTGAATACCCTGATCAATTTCATCTCGCAGCTCGCGCAAACTTTTCTCTTGATACCTGTAGTGTCGGCAATCTCTCAGCTGAAATGGTTATGGTTCCGAAAGGTCAAATCTTTGGGAGACATAGATGACTTTGACGAAGCAAGTCGTCAACCTTTCTATGGACTCGTGTTAATATGGAAACACCCTGAATGGTTGTTCCACCACAATCGACGAAGCATTTTGACTAACTCCAATAAGGTCCTTGCTTTACCTCGCAACAATCAACGGCATTTTGATCGTCTTTATCGGGCCTTTCACTCAGCAGTCTGTCACACTGGAGCCCCGGCAGGTTTCGACAAAAGAGGGGCCTTTTGCTGCTTCCATTCCAATCGTCACTGAATATAACTCATCGCATTTTACAGACGTTGTTCGACAAGTCAATCAAAACGGCAATGTTTGGAATTTTGAATTCGATACAGTTCCACCAGAAATGAAAGACGCCATTATGCAGGGCTTATCTGAAGAAGAAGCCGATCATAGCGCCGTTGAGGCGTCTTACACTATCTCAAATTGTAGTTTCACCCCTTACTCGTCGCTTGGTGTATGCCACTCAATTGAGGATTGGACACAACATATCCTCAAGCAATGCGGGACTAATAACACTCGCCATTCTAAATGCAGTTCTTCAGTGCTGGAGATTCAGCAGCATCCCGCTTTCAGGCTCGAGAACTCCAACGTATCGGCGAGCGGGATGACAATCCTGATGAGTGCATTCCAATACAACACATCCCTTTTGGAGCTTTCTCAAGAAACACAGACGAGTCATTATCCCGATCATCGAGCGCATGCTTATACTGATGTCTTTGAGTTTCCAGCGAACGACGTGCTGGGAGAATTCTATGTTTTCTATCCATCATCGGAGCCACGGAATCAAGGCAACGTGTTTCAATACGCGTTCAAGGGTACATTGTCCTTGTGTGTGTATACTTTCAATACGACCATTGTCAATGGCCAAACGAAGACAAAGGTCCTTGACATCACTAGAAATCTGCCTTGGCAAGTCGAGAGCCAAGTGGTAGAATCTGAAGGGAATGTCCGCCACGATGTGTATGCCACCTATTCTGACGAGTTTCAACGCATGAAAGTTGGGATGGATGGCAAGAGCAGGCAAAGTATCACCAATTACCTGGCGCGTGAAGTGTTTTACGGCAGCTGGGACGGGGGGCTTCAAACTGATTCAACCATGTCCACCCACAAGGACCATCCACGAGCTTCGAGTGACGCTTTCAGGGCCATAGAGTCCGCGTTGTACGGAGTTGATCAGATGAAGATATGGGAGGGCTTGGAAAAGGTGGAGAAGCTTTTAGGGAGAGTTGCGATACAAATGACGAACGCGTGAATAGAACCCGCAGATTATATTCTCAGGCCAAGCGCGGCTCGCTAACATCTATCAGTCTGCGAACTACGTCAATGAACCCCTCGCAGGTTTCACGTGGAACAACGACGAAGACCGAGATATACATCGCCGTGAACTTTTACTGGCTCAGTCTCCCTGTCGCTTCAGTCGTGCTTGCATTTGCCCTCTTGTTGGCGGTGATTATGTCGAGCCGGCGCCACGGCATTCCCGCCTGGAAAAGCAGCAACCAGCAACTGACGTCGATGCTCGAGCCGATAACCAGTGAGGCTGTAGGGCTGGATAATGAACTAGGTTCGAAGATCAACTTGAAGCTCATCAAGCGAGCTGATGGAACGTGGAAACTGAGGACGCCAAATGACTCGGTGAATGCACAAGAAGCTCCTTCATCGGAAAGAATTCGTCAATTTTCTTTTTCTGACGTACCTGGCAGCCATTCCATTAGCCTCGAAGCACCTCACTGAATGCAATATGTGAACATTCCAAGACATCGTCTAATTATGCACATTGATGTTCGGCGCGTTGGAATGTGGCGTCTCATATGAGCAATCGGTCAAACTTCGGTCCCGCGCTCGTCTTAGCGCCTTGGCATTAACTCATCTATAAGGTGTGTTTGAACGTGGCCATGCCAAATAAAATTCTAGCGCTGGTATTAGGGGTATGGCCCCTGGAAAGCCCCCTATAAGCTAGTTTTCCTCAGGCCAGCTAGCCCCCGGGTTTGCCCTTGTGGATTTGGCGTGGCCACGTTCAAACACACCAACCCTCGGTCTAAAATTTGTCACATCATCAAATCCACCAATGCTGCTGCGAATACTATTCTGATGCCCTATTGACCATGACGAGCAAGCAACTCACATGTCACGTAGCGGCATCTCAACCCGCCAGATTCTAGTGTTATCTATCTACTGAACAGAATTATCTAGCGCTCTCATAGCTCTTCACACTTGCCAACGGACCCAACGAGTCCTCTGCATTCAGCGTCACTTATCACAGAAGTCTGACGCCTTCCTGGATCCTTATCATCAACTCCATTCACCGACTTCATCGCCACAGGCACAGTCTCTCCAATGACGTCATTCCTCCTGATATCGAGGACAGCCTGATACAATCGTCCATCCCGCAGCGAATCATGAATGCTGCTAATCCACGATCCAATATTCTTCTTCTCCCTACCGCCGAGGCTCATAGAGTCGGGACTTGGATGCTCAATCAAGCCCTGATTGAACGGCACGCCTAATTCATGGCGTATGAACTTGTACACCGTCGACGAGCCTGTGCCCAGCAATTGCAGTGTGTCCTGCTCATGGAAGAAAGCTTGGCGATTCTCAGTGTACACGTCCGAGACGGTGGTACTTGCTTCACTTCTCCACCGCGCTAATGCCTCGCCGAAGTTCTGCGGAAGCTGCGTTCTCGACGATATAAAATGTATCGTTACGACAGACACACACGAGTCAGCTACGATAACGGCACGACGATAGGAGTCCAATCTCGTCTCTTTCGACCACCCGTCGACGAGGCGCTGCCACACTTTCCCATCCAGTTCCATCTTCTCAGCAGCATCCAGATCCTCATTCCAGACACTGGCACTCAACCTCTCCATCTCCGGTTCCAGCCTTAAGAAGAACTTCACAATCCTAGCCCTCAAATCCAACGCCTGACACAGCACGTACAGATGAGCCGCCGCCATCAACATGACGATCTCCGCCGACTGCAGTGTATACCGCGCCGAGACAAGCGCCAGCGAATTGACGGCTTGATTATGCATTTCCGCACTCTGCACATGGCTGCTGACCGGATTCGCGAGGAACGCGAGCTCCGACATATATGACGCCATGCTCGTATCGATACCCTTGCAGGTGAAAGAGAGGCTGGGCTCGTCTGCGGATAGGTTTGGTGGCAGCCCGTTGCTGAGCATTGGGTTGATGATCTCAGAGCATTGAGCGAAGAGGAGCTTACCGATCATTTGGAGGCTTAGGCGTGCTTTTTCCATGGCGGAGGTGATTGAGGTGGCTTGGAAGTTGCCACTGTGGTGGATGTGCTTGTTGTTGACGTCGATCAGAGGGTTGTCGGTTGTGGAGTTTAGTTCTGTTTGCACTTGTTTTTGGGATAGGAGAAGGTCCTCGAGTTGGGGGCCGATCCATTGGGAGGCTGTGCGCAAGGGGTAGCGATCTTGGAAGAGACCTTCACTGCGGGAGTCATCCTGGTTCAAGCCACGCGCAAGTTGGGAGCCTTGAAGTAGAAACCGGATGTTGCTTGCGACTTCTATCTGTCCTTGATGGGGTCGGATACGCGCGATGAATAGATGAAAGCTTCCGTAGCTCCCAAGCAAGGCTTCAACTGCCATAGCAGTGAGTGCTTGGGACAGCATGGTCAGGTTATGGGCATCGAACAAGGCAAGACTGCCTACTGCTGCTGATGTTGCAGTACCATTCAGAAGTCCTAACCCCTCTCTGGGGCCTAGTGTCACTGGCTCGATCCCTGCTGTCTGCAAAGCGTCGTTCGAGGAGACAATGGTGGGTCGGCCTCCACGTCTGACCTGAACTTTGATTTCTGGATTTCCAGTTACTGTTCCCGCTATATAGGACAGTGGTGACAAATCCCCAGACGCCGAAACGCTACCTCGAAGGGGCACGACTGGTGTTATTTGGTGTCTGATCAGAGAGTTCACTGTTTCAATGACTTTCCAAGATACTGCAGAATGGCCACGAATAACCGAATTGCATCTGACGAGGATCGTTCCCTTGACCCAAGACGGATCCATTGCATGCGACGTGACGCCTTCATCATCATGATCTGATTCGCCTTGGTCAAGCTTTGTCAGCACGCCAATGTGTAGATGTTGGAGTAGTGCTGACTGCAGGTCTTCTTTTGCTTGTGTCCGAGTGTCAGCGCTACCGCCAAAGCCGGTAGTTACACCTAAAATCCATCAGAAATGACCCAGCTCGATTAGACGATGGTATCATACCATATATGACTTTTTTGTCGGCCAGGTGGCTTTTGAGCACATCGACACTCTGCTGCACTCTGACATGGCATCTTGTACTCTGCTCTAATTCACTATGTACGCCGTATCTATGGCAGAAGTCAGTAAAACGAAAGTAGTTCTATTCAGACATCGTCAAATCTCACCGAGACACAGCAACGACCGTGGCAATGTCGAGGCTTTCGCCGTCAATCTTCACAAGCCCTTGTGTTCGAAGCTGAGTAATCTTTCTCCAAACATTCTTAACGAGATCCCAATGCTCTGTGTCGCATTGACCGTCGACGGTCAGTGGAAGGATTGCGTGCATGTCCTGAGGAGAAGAACGTTGTGTCCAATTGCGCAGAGCGAGTACAACGACCCCGTTGCGGTAATCTAAATCGAGGAGACTGTGAATCGCAGACAAATAAAGCTACTCCTGTCGATGTGCATAGAACCTCGGATCTTTTAATCAGTCGTGGACAAGACTGATTAGGAAACATGTCTGGCCGTAAGCCCGACACGCAATGATAGTAGTTTGGCGAGTTGTGGTGATCATCTAATATGTACACCGCTGTTTGAGCCTCTCTCAAATTGAGTTGCACCTCTCCTGGGACAATCAACGACTTTTCTCCACAATCAGCAACATCACAGCTGACGCGAAACTGACATAGGACTCGCACGTTGGCCGTTGCTCTGGGCGAACATACCGTAATCATGGCTCTAAACCCTCGATAATACTACGATGCGGCTCAGAGACTGACATGATCCTACCTCTGTCTAACTCCCCGGAGCTCGAGTGAGCCCCCTTCAAGAAAACGACAAGCAAGTTGCCAGGCCCACGTCAGCTGATCGAACGAATACGCCTACCGCGCAAGACGAGGTTGTGGGTGTTAATTACAGATGCAGACTGATCCCAACTTTTATCGGTGATTAGGCTCGAGAAACCTTTGATCGCGCATGGAAGAGCTTGAACGGATAAGTCCGCAAGAATGTGTCACAGCTAGGAAGGAGGTCCTAATCCAATGAATTTACTGTCGTTCTTTCAGTCGATGACGGGGGCGGGGTGGTCAGAGTTGTGGTCACGGCAGTGAGGTTCTCATGCTTGGTAGGAATTGGTTCCAAGGGAGTCGGAGAATTGATGTTGTGGTATGAATTTTTACGGTGCAAACTACTCGGAAGAGGGTAACCTATAAAAGCTGACCTGATAAACCACAGATCATAAGGTTACTTCTACCTCCCTCACCATAAAGCCACCGACCATAGTGTAATCCCCATCGACTCGCTACCGCAGGCATAAGCAGCAAACTAAGTTCCCCTATCCCTCCCCTCCCCTCCCCCCCTCCTCCCTTACACACCTTCCCCAGCAATCAAGCAAGCACCGCCTCAACAACGCCCTCCCCTCCCCCTCCCCCTCCCCCTCCCCCTCCTTTCCCCCAAACTCCAACAACCCTCAACCCCACCTCCTCCAGCAACGTCCTCCACTGGCGCTCCGATCTCTCCATGCCCGCATGCAGCGCCATCATCTGCAGATCCAGGGCGGCCGGGAACGCGGCTACATTCTCATCCGGTAGGATGAACTCGCTGATCAGGAGCTTTGAATAGCGGGGGGGCCGGGTTTCATGGCGGCGGCGATGTGGGTGAGGATCGTCCGGCACTGGGCGTCGGGCCAGTCGTGCAGGATGGCGCGGAGGTGGTAGGCGCGTGCGCCTGGGGGGGTGGGGTGTTAGTGGATAGTCATGCGATGGGCGACGGAGGTAAGGGGAAGACAAGGAATTACCTCTAACAGGCTGCGGCGCAAAGAAGTCATGAGCCATACACTCGACCCCCTCCTTCCTAAGCTCATCCACAACAGCCACGATAACATCTCGCCGATCTTGCAAGATCAAGCGCCCCCACCCCCCATCCCCATATCCCTTAAACGCCTCCTTAAACTTAAGCAAATCATGCCCACGATTTCCGCCCACGTCCACGAGGAGGACTGCGTCGCTGTCCGCGGGAAAGTCGGAGAGCAGTCTTTCCTGGACGGCATACGCGTCGAACCAATGCGGCCGCCCCTCTCTTCGCGACTTCATGAAGTCGTTGAAGGTGGCTGCGGTCGCGGGGTGAGCGGATTGGTAGGTCCAGAATTCGCTTCCGAATGTGTCGGCGAAGATGGATGAGTGGTTATCGCTTGGGTTGCGATAGTTGTGTTTGCGAAGGTAGTCTGGCATTTTTGCTGCTGTTGGCATGAAAAGATCAAACCTACGTCGATGGGGCGTTAGCGTGTTCCCACTGAGTTGGTTGAGTGGGTGGGAATTACCAGATCTTGAAGCTTGAAGTCCCTTGTGTTTGGGTCATTATTTGCGTCTTGTCATTTGCTTTGAAGGTCCCATTTGTGCCACTCTGGCAGAAACCGCTTGATACGAGGGCTCTGACTATCCTTGCTAGATTGTCGACATCAGATCGTTACATGGTACAGCCAAACGTTTTCTTACCTATAAGAACCTCTTCAACGCCAGTACGTCGAGATAATTCTCGTTTTTCAATTCCTGCGTCTCCAACGTCAACCAGAATATCAAATAAGCCAACGTCGAGAGCTGTCCTGATAGCAGCGGCATGCCAGTGCTATACATCTATATCAGCTTGGTTTGCCAGGAGTATAAATTAAGATGAAGAAGACAGACATGATAACCTATACGGAAAATCGTGTCTGAAGGACTCTCAGCGGCCAACAGTAGGGTATTGATCTCGTCTAGCAATTTCGTGTGGGAGGCAGCCTCATCTAGATTGGCTGTATTCGCTGTCTCCCTGACAGCGTCAATGAGGGGCATGAGAGAAGATTCTATTGACCCCATCTTGACGTCTGAAGGTACGGTTCGAGGCCGAGGCAATGATTCAGGCTATCGTACGGCTTTAGCGACCAGAGAATCTGTTTACGGTGTATTGTTGCACAACGATCCAGGCGCTATCAGCACTTAGCATGTTATTTATGACCGAGAAGTCTCCCTCAAGCGACACTCCTGTATTGTCATCGGTGCATGTGTCAAGAACATCGCGTGAAAATATGATGGTCGCTCTTTCCGTCATCGAGACGAGGACTATCATGCGGGGAAGGTAGCACTGAAGGACTCTTGGGCACATGTGTACTTCCCCTCAGGTACCGCTGAGTATCACACTCAAATCTTTGATGTCACAAGGTCTTCGGACGCGATAGCCAATAACACTTGAGCAGAGTCTGGCTCGGCGACAAACAGTGGCAATGAACGGCTTGCCGCGGGTATGGAGGGACGTTGGAGGACTTGCCCAATCTGTTGAGTCAGGAGACTCCCCTCGAGACCGAAGATATGTACTCTCCAGATAGGCTTCGATTGTCGAGCTTGCGCTTGGGTGTAGTGCTGAGTGATGTGATAACGGCAACTTATTGGCACCATGCCAGCTCTAGCCGAGGATCATGACGTGTTAGTGAGAAACCAGTGTCATAGCCATCAGACATGGGCAAATGGCTGATTCGATAGCTTCACACAGGTTCATTGTAGGCGCAGGACCCGCGAGGTATGTACAATTTGGGTGTGAGATCAAGGGGCACGTTTGCTGACGAGGATTCTCATGACACTAGCTTGATAGTATCGCAGGGTATGGGATGATTGGCTAGACGAAAATACTATGTAATGAAAAAATAATTCGAGGACGAATTTCCCAAAGGGTTTAGATGGTCTTGCTGCGGAGTGTCTGGGGATTGGAAGGGTGGTTTCTTAAGTGGGAAACACAGGGGCGCGGTGGAGAGGGAGATGGCGTGGTATTAGTACTGATCGCACGAAGCATAATTCTCGGTGTCGATGCTATTGATTGTTCAGGAAGCGGGTCTGAGGCGATAGATGGCAGAATGGGGTAGGTGTAGGCACAGCGAGACGCATTCTCATATTAGAGAATTATGGAATGGTGGAAGATGCCTGTCGATGACACGATGGATGGTATGGCCCTCTCCCTGACCTAATAGCAGTCTTTGCGCTGGTTCAATCTTGCTTGGTAGGTAGGACGATATTGGGGAAGAATCTGATACCTGGGATCATTGGTACGATAGGAATGGCATGAAGGAGGAACTATGTGCATCAATATCATCTGGTCATGCCACAGGCTCTCTGGCAATGAATGAAGTTGTAAAGCTGCGGGAGCACAGAGGCTCACTTACAACTAAGCCGGCGCGGTACATTCAGAAGAGGAATAGACAAAGTCGGAGTGATCATCAGTGATCGTGAGTAATCGATCAAGTTTGGCGCCATTCAAGCCAGGCAGGCAATACTGGGTGCCAGAACAAAGACCTTGAAAGACCTTCTCTCTAGGAATCCTTCGAATTCTCAGCTATTTTGTGTCCACGCCAGGAGCCTCCCGAGCAACATCTCCTTGAGCTATTCAGACCATCCTAATAACTCGCCGCCGGTGCCACCGTGGCAGCCCCACCCCCCTCCCCCACCCTCCCCACCCCCCTCCCCGTCCTTATCCAAATCCACCACCTTCCCCTCCTCATCAACATTCTCCCCCTCCGCAGTCCCCACAACACGCACCCACAGCTCGGTACCATTTCTCACATACGTGCCCACATAGCCATCGAACTGCTGCGCAGCATTCCTCACGCACTTGACCTCTCGCGGGGTCGGACCGTCACAATGCCCGATCTGGAAATCTGCCTGGCTGAGAGGGCTGTGGAAATAGATGTCGTAGCAGTAGTCTGTTGGGCTGGATGTTTTGGAGAAGCCGCGGAGCTTTGGGAGGGGGGTGGGTTAGTGGTTTTGGTAGTGGTGGTGGTGGGGGTGGTGGTGGATGATTGCGGGGAGGAAAGGGAAGGGAGGCGGAAATGGGAAGGTGAAAGAGGGGGGGGAAGGGAACTCACGAGAAGGAATCCGAGCGTGTATTCCCAAGTCGTGACACCTGGGACAGCTGGGGCGATGCATCGAGGGAGATTTGTCAGTCCAGGTGTGTTTTCCACCTCGTGCATGTCCACCAGGGTGGCGCTTGATCCTGGTGGTTGGGCATCCTTCAAGGTCACGTTCAAGGGCGTTGCGTTGGTTACGTGCAAGAATGAGAGGTGCAAGAAAAGGAGGATGAGCTGATATCCTCGACGCATTGTGCTTGGGACTGGCTTGTTGTTGGAGGCTCGGGAGTGGTTCTTGAATGAAGGTGACAGCGCTTAGTGATATAAAGATACGGGCTCTCGGATTTTCGAGGTTCGAGACGCAGGGACCGGGAGAACAGGATGGTCGAACAGGCGCGTGTCTCTGCGTGGTTGTTCTAGGCGCACGTGGATTCAAATGTTAATGTCGGAGGATCAGACAAATTCTGAGTCGTCAGGCTGTCGCTCCAAGTTCGCTTTCAGAGTCTCAATGGGGCCTTGGGACTTAGGAATCAGGCTGTGTGATCCGGCAATCGCGGGCTTTTATATCGCTTGAGCTAATTATTTGAGCTGTCAAATATCGGCTGTCCATCGAGCCGGGGACCTTGTTGGCCGGCGCGCTGCCAATCCTATACAACTAATTGATTCTATACTCAGCTCTACCGTCGATATTGTGCTAGCTGGGTATGTGAATTGAAATGTCTTGCGCAATCAACCCAAGACACGGATAGAATCCACAGCTATGGTCGAGGTTGATGCGCTTAATAGCCTTCTCGTTTGAGCCTTGCGCCACCAGGCTTTTTTCTTCCTTAAATAGCCCTGCGCTTTTACAGAGCACCATGGGTGCGATTCATTTGAATCCTTCCCGACATGGGTTGCTGCCCGCGGAAAGACATCGTAAAGTGCAATCGGCAGCGAGAATACGTTTCTTCAGAGTATCGCTAAACGTTCGTACCTTTTCTCCTCTGCGTAAGGAAAGCGAGTGACAATTGAGCTTGTCGTCATAGTCACGGCCGATATATGATAGCGAAAGTCGCATACACTCAGGAAGTGCCATGGTTCAGGCTTGTCTTGTTTGCGGTCGTGGACTTAAATTATGTATTAAATAAAAGGGCCGTGAAAAAGATCTGGGGCTCAATGCTGGCAGCAGGGCGTAGTCATGATTTGCTTCTAAAATCATATACTGTCTTCATATATTATAATCCGTTGCTGAGGATGTGTCAACGCAATCGTGATGCGACATTCAGAGAGAAGAGCCTTTTGTAGGGGCTGTGATCATCAAAATTCGTTAAATCCTAAATCAACGTGAGAAACCGTCGGCTCATTGGGATCATCATCGTTGCTATCGGTGATCAGCTGATTACTCGTCGCTTTATCAATGTTGTGTCAATCGAGTCATGAACCAGCTCCAGATCTACGCTAAGATGATGTGCTTTCTGACTGGGTTTGCGGCTTTCCAATCATCTTCATGTAAGCCAGCAATCGCAACTCGATATGCTATACCATCTGGACGTCGTGCAATGAGCATGACATCCACAATGTCTTGAGCATCATCAGTGATGATCATATCCTCTCCATAATAGAACTGCAGCCGGTCAAGCCCTCGGTAGAAAGTGCTCCTTTTCCTTGCCATGATACCCACAAACTCGTAATGCGTGCCTCTTTCACGACTTCTGCGCCAGTATGGACTAGGAGGGATCGAGATAGAAGAAACGACCTCATCACTTCCGATCAATGTGATGGGATAACTTCCCCTGTCACGTCCAGGTCGTTGCTGCGTCTCGGGTGGCCCGATGTCGAGAAATATTGTCCATGCGTTGGCTTGGAGCAGAGTATCTCGAATTAGGTCATCTGATCCAAGAGACACATTGTCGGAAGATAGCTTCCATTCTGCGTCTACGACCCCAGGCACATAATCTCCTTCGCAGGTGTAGCCAGAAGAGTTCTGTTGGTGCAAAATTGCTTCGAGGTCAATGGCGCCCACCCAGCCGGCCCAAGACCAGCTGGGTAGTTTGACTTTCTTCATTGCTTCTCCTTGCGTTACAAGGACAGGGCATTCCCTTAGACTAATATCCGTTTCCCATCCTTGGTGGGTCCAAAGTAGCGAAGAGCTCAATAACTTCTGTGGATGTCCAAACACGAAGGTCGTGTTCCACTTCTGCTCTAGTTTTGCCATTATGGCGGAGAAAGCAAACAAGATATCTTCAGCATAGGTCAGTGCCCTCTTGGTATACTCACGAAGGTATCCCGCAAAGTCGAGGGAGAGACAATGATCGGTATATGGCGTCGCACTGAAATATGAAGGTTCAATGATTGCATTCTTCAGAGCCATCTGATCTTGTTCATCATTCTCCAGAGCAACAAGCGCATGTAATTCAATAGAACAGGCACTACAGTCGCAGGCGAGAAAAATTTGAACTGATGTGAAAATGAGGGTCAGAGGTGCGAGAGCGAATTCTTGATATACCCACCCTCGGGAACCCCAACAAGATCTATGCAAAATGTCCGAAAGAGTTGGGCTCACAGGTGAGAGTCGCAATTTCGGATCAACGCATTCCTCTCTCTGACTGAGTCGAGGAGGGAATCGATGGGTGCTCACCCCCGAGAGACCAGCGTTTGCATCTCGACCGTGAGCTGCTGCCAAAACTAGCTTTGCTCCTTGGTAAATTGATGCCATGGATGCGATTTGTTGCGCCTTCTGACAAAGATCGTCTTGGACGATACACAGAGCATCCACCCAAAGATACCGAACGCCAAGATATTTACATATCGTCATAGCATCACGGATGGTCTGAGGAATCTGGCTGTAGAGCCTTGAAAGTCCGCGCATTTGCTGCAAAGTCTCGACGTTACTTTGGCTGCACCTTAGCCATTCTGTTGATGTGCCCCATACATAGCTCAGAGCGACATATGTGGCGTTAGTCGTAGCATCCACAACCCTCATATCTATAATGTCGATCAATTTGAAGCCTCGGATTATATGTTTGACTCTAGGCTTCGCCATCATAGAGCACCAAGATCGATGGATGTCTTGGAAACTGTTGATCCATATACGCAAGAAGCTTGGATCGACTGTCCCGTCATCTGTTTCGAGGCGTCTTTCACGTCTCACATTCATCGCGTTATCATTCGGGTGCTCTTCTGGCAATTTGACAAACTCAAAAGTGTAACCATCGTTTGGATCGAATCCTTTCTCTGGGTCGAGACCTTCCCTGTAGTACCACTCGCCATGCAGCTCGGGCTCGGACGATAGATCGAGTCGGATACCTACATTCAATACTTCTAGCCCAGTGAATGTTCTGTTATAGCTCATTTCGCTGAGGCCTTTGAATACGCATCGAAGCTCCCTGCCATTGGAGTAATGGGTGACAGGATGATCTGTACCTTGATACTGTTTGATCACGTAGGTCAGTACTTTGCACACTGGACAGTGTTCATGATTGAGAACGTCTAGGATGGATCCAAGATCGAGATCATTGCGTTGACCGCTATTCAGGAAAGACCAGAGTCTCTCGGTACAACTCGGCGGCTCTGCTGTTGACGGAGGGAAATGGAGATGCATTGATGGCTCCATAAAGCATACAGCAATGATTTGACTAGCTGCAACCCATGGCGGCGGTCACATGCTTCTAGTAGCGCTGGGTCTGGAAGTCGTGAAAGCCAACAAAAATTACAAAAGACGCCGCGTCGGGCAGCAGCTCGGAGCGGCTTTTCTATTCCCCGCAGCATGCCCAATATCGCCTTAATACCCAATCTATCACCCAGAGGATCGAGACGTGCATGGATTGCCAATTTTCATGGAGCCATTGGACTGGACACTCGAATATGATCCAACGCCTACTAGACTGTTTGCACACCTTTCCAATACGACAGGAGTGCAGGAGCCTTTATACCATCGAGGGAAATACTATCGCACGAGTCCCGCCAGCTGAAGATTACTGCTTGCAACATTAAAGCGTAGATTTGACAATCCAATTCTTTCAAAGAACGACTGAAATGTCTTTTACAAAATTTCTGTAGTCGATAGATCACATCCATCGACATTCTGCCCGCTGACTCTATGCGTAGAACAACACTTGTTTCCGCAAAGACTAGGACGCCGAGGTGATTTGGTTGAGTGCTGGAATCACAGCATCCTCTCGCTGCCAAATAAAATCATCATCCTTACCCTAGCTTCCTATTACTGCCATTTCGCACCATCCACCTGACCCAGTGCGTCAGCAAAAGAGCGAACACATGGCCCTCATCAAGTACCGTGCTTATTGACAGTCATGTCATTCCGGCCAGCTTTGGTTCCAGCGATCGCGAGTCGAGCGCACCAGAGTCAAGGGAGAACCAAAGACAGAGGGGACATGTGACCGCGAGGAATGATGACAGACAGTCAACCCACAATCGACGATCCATCGAACTGCGGGACGCCTTCTCCAGCAATTGGAACGGAACTCTTTGGGCATGTGATCGCTGTCTCTGGAAATCCTGCTCCACGATTGTCACAGCTGCATCCTCAAAAACAACTTCATCCACAAGCTTATCACGCTGGCGAGCGCGGGTCAGTGAACCCGCCGCTCGATATTGTGAGGGCAAAGGATGTCGTGTGCAGTAGGAGGTAGGGCTTCAGATCGACAGTAACCTACGAAGGCCATCATCAACTCTGTTTTCATCCATAGAGCGACTCACTCTAAACCCCCGTGTTCGATGTCGCGCACGATATGGCGTCCTTCCCACAAGCCCATGGTGACTGTTCGGTATCACTCATCAAGCAGCCGCCGACAGAGCGAAGAGGCCAGCTGATCATCAAGACAGCACGACTCCCTTGCCCCCTCCCCCGTCCACCAGCGCCCGATGAATTCCTTTCTTCCAAGCCGTACACGTATACCAGCACCTGGCAAATCTTTCATGTCTCTCACACCCGTTCCTGAGCCAAGCAAGCATCTTCCCCCAGGCACGACCCATCCCCATCCCCATCCCCATCCCCAGTCCCATCACCATAATCAACCCTCCACACCATTCCCACCTCCACAGATTGATTATGCAACCCCCGACCCCCCGACCTGCCGAGCTCGGCCGCTCGACCGGCCGCAGACACGGCACATGCACATCACATGTTGGTGTTTGACAACCGCCACCCCGCCACCAGCTTTGGCGCCAAGGGGGTGCCGCGGTAGAGCACGCATGTGGAGCGCATACGCGCTTGAGACATCGCGGATTACTGCCTTGCCGTTTTTTGCACGAGATCATGATGATGATGACAAGACATCATTCTTGGCAGCCCTTCCCTCGGTCGTCTCAGCCCCCCCACGGGAATTCTCCTAGCCGCCGACTGTGCTTTCTGTGGAAATTCTCCGACGGGGGGGGAGGATTGATATGTGCGCTTGTTGGGGAGGAGCTACGTTACTAGTTCTTGATAGCTTGTTAGGGTGGCGATGTCATGTGGACACCGTCGTACGGATCGCAACGAAGAATTCTCCGAGCTGGTGCACTTCGCTACGCTGTTTCGTCTGTTACATGGCTGTTTCTCGGAGATGGTCGTTTTGGGATAAGAGGCGGCCTCAGCCGATGGTTATGAGTCTTTAGAGGAAGCTTCTTGCTGGCTAGTGGGTGATCATGGTTCGGGTAGACGGCGTTGGTTGACCTCTCTATCTATGGAACCTTTACTTCTCGTGACTGTTCGGGTGGTGGTAGTTCAGCGAATCTTCGAAAACAGCGAAGGACTGGCTGTCTTTTTAATTTGATTAAGCGTTTCCAGAGAAGAAGTGTAGGAGACACATAGCATCATACTCGTAAGCCATCGAGGGACACGGCCGGGTCGGCAGCCATAGAATGCCACCCGAGTCGTCACTGACGATGACCAACAGCATTACCACCAGCCTCAGGTTCTAAATCAAGAAAAGTTGACAGGCGCGCTTGAGACCCTGCATGCCAAAGTGTGTTGGTCATGGAGGAAACATTGTTTTAGGGCGGTTCGATAGTGCACGTTGCGTTGTACCTGAATCGTTGGCAGGTCGATCAATTGGCTCCATCCCTTTAATGCGTAGTGACTGGCTGCGATAAGATTCTATCAGCATTGCGTGTAGATTGGAGTTCGTACTCCTACCATAGTGGTGAAGACTGAGGGTGTGGCGGCGGGCGCTAGTGATTCATTCTGTGCCCTCACGGCCCCAATATTCCGTCAAAGAGATTAAGTGTCGACTGAGCCCCCTTCTAGAAGACTTCTAGTGTGCTTCTAGGAGGCTTGAAGTCTATTCTCGTTCTCCTGTAGATCATGAATTGTACCCAAGGATTGCAATGCCTGTAGCGATCATCGGCCGGTTCAAGCCGCTCGAAAGACGGCCATCATGATATTTGCATCTCGCGGTTGTTGTACCGCATGTAATTTCTTTCTTCATCTCTTATCGTAATGTAGCTGCTAGTGCAACATGGCACCACCGGTATCATCGCTCGATCGCCTAGAATAATCCTCGACAGTCCACTGATATGGATTTCCTCCGCCACTTCCTTTATGCACAGACACGTATCACGTAGCTGCTGACTTGCTTTTGTTTGGCCCCATCGGAGTGCCGCTCGTTGAGGCCGTGATATGGGAAACATTGATGCCACATGACGGAACAGCTCGGCCTATCTTGTAATTCTTACTTCACAATCAATCCATATCATGATGGAGGGTCGGCACACAGTGACATAGGACCGAGCTGATTGGCCGAAAACAATGACAAGCTGGTCTTGAGGTGACTTGCATGCGAGCTCATGCACCACCCCATTCTCTCCGTAGGTGAATGTCGATCAATCGATGTCATCGCCTCAATGTAATCTCATGAAAAGAAACAGGCATACACACCAAACACGATTTGCGATCATAGGCAAGCTGATCCAACTTCACTGCTCCGTTCCGCCTCTTCTCATCGGCTCGATCTGGAAGGATGATGACATCTTTATGGAATATTGAATCCTCCTTCTGTCTCTAGAATTCCTATAAAGCAAAGCACACCGTCCGACATTCCTAATCCGACATCGTTCACAAGCACTCAATTCAGAACAAAGAAGCAAGAACAGGACTAGCAGACGACGGATCCAAATTGAATTTCTTCAAACAAGCATCAGAATGCATCCAACAACCTACCTCGTCGGCCTCGTGGCCGCAGTCTCCACCATCCTTCCACAATCCACGTTAGGCCTGGGCATCAACTGTCGCGGCTCCGGTCTCTGCAAACTTGCCCAATGGGAGAACAAGGCCCCAGAAGGTGTGATGCAAATCCTCCGCGACGCCGTCTGGCAATCCACAAAGCCAAACGAAACACTATACAACTCTGGCGATCACATCATCTGCGTCAGCAACAAGCTTCCCGTCACCCTCACACCTAGCTTTACGGGTGGCGTATCGAACCCAGAGACTGGCGTCACCGAAGAAGGCAGTGGTTCTTTTGGCCTCAACCTCAATATTGGTAGCGGCGGGATTTGCCTCTTTCCACAGCTTCCAGACTCCACACCGGGGTTGAACCTGGGATACGTGAGGCCACTCATGGACAAGTTGCTGGAACATGGATGCGGCACTTGCGGTAGTGTTCCGATTCACTTCGTTGATCAAGGTAGCAACGATCCCGGCGCGGGAATTTTGACCTTCAATTATGTTGGCAGCCCATCTTGCACGGGTCAGTGTATTGGGGCCAATGGACAGGCGTCGAACCCGACTTCAGCAAAACTCAGGGGACGAATTTAAGGGATCTGAATGTGGTGCGGCTTTGTCCTTGGTCGGGTGTCGGACGCGATATCACCATGGATCTAGCCAGTTGATTGAACACTTTCGTTTGGAATCTTTTCAGCGTCCTTTTTCAATACGGCCTTTTTCTCTTCTGTCATCCATGGTGACTCATGTATCAGTAGCATCAATGAATTTGGTACCCATTCGCGCTTTATTTTGCATTGGCTCATCATGTACCTATATTGCTCCGGCGTCGCGGGCAATTCCATTCATGGCAAAAACCGATGGAGCAGTCGATCTAAGCCTGCGGAATATGCCTTACAAGTCATTCTGCCTTACCAGTAGTACAGCTCAGACGACATGACACAATGTTTGTGTTGATGAATCATGTAGAACGCGCCCGGCAGAAGGCGGGGCTTTTTAGTGCCAAGACGCTAACTCAATCTTGCTTACCTCAGCAAGTCACAGCCAATCATCCATCTGCTCATCTCGTCGCTTTTGAAAAACATCCAACATCTGCACCGACACGCGCGAACAGAAATAGCCTGTCGCCTTGTTGGACAATAGCCGCCGGCGTGTATATATGTATATACACAGTCTCCAAGGAAAAGTCATGG